TATTAAAAAGGAGTACAAGGAAACTTTTGGAGTGAACATATAGTCACTATCTCGATTGTGGTGATGGCTTCATGAGTGTATACATATGTCAAAACATTAAATTGTATACTTTAATATATACAGTTTATTGCATGTTGATTGTACCTCAATAAAAATATTACATGCCTGTTATATGTCAGATATTTTGCTAGTTGTTTTAATGAAATAGTAACTTACTTCTGAAAGTACTGTGTGGTAGGGATAAAACTGAATTTCAGAGAAGAGTAATATATCTATAAAATAAGAACATGTTTTATAAAGAGGAGGAGGAGTGGAAGAGAGAAAGGAAATGGGAAATGGTGAGTAGAACCAAAAGTGATTCCTGGAACAGAGGGAGGAGGCAGGGTAGAAGAAAGCCTTTTATTATATAGGACAATAGATTATGTGGCTGATTATATTTTCCAACATTATTTCTTCTTAACAATATAGCTCTGACATTTTTCCCATCAAGAGGTAGAGTCTGTTTTTCTTCATCTTCATTATAGGAAAGCTGTGATCACTGTGGAAGTAGTGCTATGTGATGTCTGAAGTCATTAAAGGTGATTCAGCTTCTGCCTGGTTTTCTTCTGATGTTCACTCTTGGAACTCAGCCCCCATGATGTGAGGAAGCTCAAGCAGCCATGAAGAGGTTTTATTGACAGCTCCATCTGACCTCTTACTTGTAACCAGTATTGACCAGCCTTTGGGTAAGTCACCTCTAGCCTTTGAGTCACCCCAGCTAAGGTCCTGACTTTATGAAGCAGAGAGGAGGTCATTGATGTATCCTTCATGAATTCCTGACCCACAGAATCTGTGAGCACAAACAGTTGTCCTTTTACAGCACTAAGTTTGAAATGTCTTTTTATGCAGCAATAGTAACAAAACAGGTGATAGGGAGGAAGGAGGAGAAATGGAAATAATAAAAGAAAAGGTAGGATCCAGTCCTTCTGAAAAATTAGAAAAGATTTATGAGTAGTTTTAGTAGATTTTGAGAGTTAATACTCCCAGAGAAGTGGCCTAAGGCTTTCTGGGATGGGCAGTAGCTCTTGTCATCATGGGTACCAGGAAGGTGACCACAGTAGCTAAAGTATTAAAGTGGAAGAAACTCCCTCATCATCAGCCATCTGACAGTCCTTACAAAACCAAGAGTATAGCCAACACATGGGGCAGGATTTGCCAGTTTCCTGACTCAGGAAGAAATGTTTAAGAAAAATTGCTTTGGGTTGTTATAGTTAACTAGAGGCGTGGTGCACGAAATTCATGAGCTTGGGGGGCTCCCTCAGTCAGGCCTGTGCCCTCTTGCAGTCCGGGAGCCTTCAGGGGATGTCTGACTGATGTCTTAGGCCCGCTCCCTGCAGGGAGCAGATCTAAGCTGGCAGTTGAACATCCTTAGCACTGCCGCAAAGGTGGGAGAGGCTCCCGCCACCGCCACTGTGTTTGCCAGCCATGAGCCTAGCTTCTGGCTCAGCTGCACCCCCACCCCCTGTGAAAGTGCACTGACTACCAGGGGGCAACTCCTGTATTGAGTGTCTGCCCCCTGGTGGTCAGTATGCATCATAGCAACTGGTCATTTTGCAGTTCAGTCCATTTGCATATCAGCCTTTTATTATATAGGACTACATATACTATAAATTAAGTGCTCATGGTTTTGGCACAACATAAATCTCCAGAGACAGAAGAAAAAGGATTTCTTGATCTAATTTTGTCCACTTCATATGGCAGAACCTTGATCTTTAGACTCAAGCAGAAGCCTCCCAAATTCAGATATTTATACATAAAAATATCTTGAAAGTTCTTTAACTCTATTATGGAGATGGCAAATAAATTCGAGAATGAGTCCATCTGAAAAAAGAACTACTTCTAAAGTGTATATGTTCATGTAGTTCCAGAACTATAAAGGACATACTGTGAATTCTGATCTCAGGGTCTGGTTCTGGGTCACTGGTGAAGTAGTAACAACCCTTAAGCAATGTGCTTGCACTGATTTGGGTTTGTTTGAATTTTGTTTTCAGGATTTATAGATTTGTTCTTGTGTGAGCCACTCTAATTTGCCTTTGCTAGATGCCATGTTGGGATAGTCTACTTTTTTGATTCAGAAAGTTCGTTGCTAATTTTTATCTTTGCTGTGTTCTTGTTCAGAATACAGTTTTAGGTAGAGTCTTAATTGATTTCTACAGATTCTGCTGTTTCCCTCAAACAGCTATATTATAGGCTAGCTGCTTTGTCTGTTAACAGAGGAATGGCTGAGTAATTTCACAGCTCTCTTGCCTAACTTGAACCTGATCACACACTCTGCATTTTGTCTGGTGGGGATGGTGCTTGCTTTTCAGAGGGACTAGTGTTTGTGGTAAACCATGGCAGTGGAAAGGGAATTTAAAAACTCATTTGGAGGGAAGAGTCTTTTTCAGCTGAATGTGAGCTGAAATGGACCTCCTATTCTGTGTTTCTCTCACACTTCCTATATGACACCATTAAACATCCTCCAGGGGACTGGAAGCTCCAGGAAGTTCTGTTTAATCACTTCATGCCCAGTATCATGGGTACCACACTTGGAAGATGTGGCGCATGATACCCCCTGTGGTTAGGATAACAGCTGTTCCCAGTTTTTAACACATGTAATGCTGGGGCTGGCCAGCAGACCTAAGCAATGGATGAATGGATTATTCCGACACAATGTTTGCTGTGAAAGGGAGGCCCGGCTATAGCAACCAGGCAGCCTGGATAGCCTGCCTCGTTAGCCTTTTATGGTAACAGCAGTTTGAGATAAAGTTTATCTTTAGATACCATCAGTAGGGTGAAAAATCTTGGGAGGACACAGGTGTTTACTAGTACATTGTCCTCTAGGCAAGGGTGTCCAGGGATTAAGCATAAAGATTCCAGTAAACACCCGGGGGTCTGCACATGCACAGACTAGTTTGGAAAGGTCAAGGAATAACTAGGGGTGCCACCTTGGACACTCCCCTAAATCTCCCGTAAGTCGGAATTCGGATAAACAGGGCAGGCGGCCTTCCACACACTTCCCTTTTATCAGAATGTCCTCCTTACAAACTTTCCAACCAAGTCTCATGTGCTCCCCAACGATCCAACACAAAGTGAAATAGTCACAACATTATCCTCAGGGCTAGTGACAGAAAGGGAGAATGTTATAGGGGTTAATTTGCCCACATTCAAATAACTTATTTTTTAGAGCCTAGTTTAGACTCCAGTTCATGGTTTTGCTTTTCTAAGTTTATTTTTACATCACATCTTACCTTTGAAGAGGATGTAAGAGAACTCCCTTTCATGGGAGGGAAGGGTTTGTATGTTAAAGTTGAAGATAAGAATTGGCCTGGCTGTTAGTGAACCACGTAAAAAGCATAAAGCATATCCTTCTGGTTCCCAGACCCACATCAGCCTTCTCACACATTTCAGCCAAACTGTCTTTTGTACTTGTAAAGAGATTCACAACACCACTGGATGGGTGGGGTGGGCCCCAGTGCAAATGGGCTGATAATCTAGTTTTGGGGTGTGTGTGTGTGTGTGTGTGTGTGTGTGTGTGTGTGTGTGAGAGAGAGAGAGAGAGAGAGAGAGAGAGAGAGAGAGAGAGAGAGAGAGGCTATACACCAGAGTTGTCAAAGTGGGGTAAGGCCCAACAAGATATTGTTTAAGAAGTGTTCCTAGTGATTCTAACACACATGAAAACTTGAGAACCACTACTATAACCATGACATGCAGAAAACTATTTTATTCACGATTTGTCCTCAATTGCAAGGAAAATTGTGTAAAATATCTTTTAGTAATAGGATGTCAAAGAAAGAAACACCCTATTATCATGTACCCATAATGCACTTGGTAAGCACTTACTGTATGCAAAGGACCATGTAAGCTATTGTGGGGAAAGGGAAGATGAGTAATATATGGTCCCAGCCTTCTTTGAGCTCATCCAGTGTTGATAAGCTGTGAATATTTGGTATACATTTGTACATATTTGTTTGTGCATATTTGATTTGCCAATAGAACAGAAATATAAGCAGAGTGGCTTGTCTTATTGGTGGTTATGTATAAAACCTACTCACAAAATGAAAAATATGGAACCTGTGGACACAGACAATGGGGTAGTGAGGGCCTGGGGGGAGGTGGGAGCTGACTGGAAGAGGTCAATGGGGGAACTTATGTAATACTTTCATCAATAAGATAAAAAAGAAGAAAAGAAAAATATGGGCGAAATTCACCACTGTATTGTAGATGTTCTCAAACCAGCTTTTGCTCATCTCAGGGATGGGGGAATAGAGTTCATGAAAGGCTTAATAGTTTGAATCATAGCTGTTCATCTGTTCAGTGACTGAGCTAGAATGCACAGCCTCACACTTCTTCCCTGTTGCTTTGCCTTATGAATCAGCCCCAGCCCCAAGAACCTGAGGACAGGACAGGATCACCAAGGCATCTTCTACCTGCTCAGCAATTAAACAAATTAGCGATAGACTCTCCCTTCTATTTAACTTTTATTAAAAGAAGTGCTAAGGTACCGAGATGCAGTACATCATATTTATTACCAAAATTATTAACAAATATACAAAACTTATACATGTAATTTTCTTACATCCATTTATTCTCTGTAATACTGATTTTTGTTCAAGTAGGTTATCTACAGTATGTAAACATCCCTTGGATTGACCTCGCACAGATTAGGAAAGCCCTCTAACCCATGCTTTTATCAGATACTTCTTTTTATTTGGCTTTCATTTGTAGCATCTAATCTTCACATTTGGCACATGGAAGAGACATCTACAGTGCAAAAGAGGCAGGTTTTCCGGTTTCATTCTGAACAATTTTACAGGTGCACAGTGAAAGTGCTGAGAGAACAAGAGCACTCCAACTTGATGGAGTTCGATTGGTTGTAATGCCAACAACTCCTGGTTCAGCCATTAAACTGACGTGCAAGGTCAATGCCTCTTCCTTCTCACGCCCCCCGCCCCCACCCCCCATGCAAGGCTGATCTGCCTTCCCCTGGTCTCAAAAGGGTTAAAAGAAATTCCATCCATCTCAGGACAAGTAGGTTAATTCCACCGGGTAACATTATTTTTTTCAGTGTTCTTTTGTGTGGGTTGTTTTGTGCGGTTTGATGAGTCAGCAAAACTCTTAATTGGAAAATACAATAAAATAAAAAAGAACGTGAGAGTAGAGCTTTCTGTCTGCTTTCAACTGCCACCCTAAGATCAGAGCTTCTTTGTGGGGGAAAAGTGACAAAGGCCTTCGTGAAAGGCAAAGAAAAGCCAAGCTTGCCGCACTTAACCTCGGACTCCAAGCCTTTGAAGACGATGCCCCAAAAGTTAAAAAAGAAAAAAAAAAGATAATTGGAGATTCTGCCCCCTTCTTCTTGTGTTTCCTTGTGTTTCTTTAATCTAACCAAGTAGTAAAGCTGATCCAGAAAGGATTCCGTTCCCCTGCTCACCCCCTTCTCATCCTCCAGCACAGTATTGCTAGCGTGTGTTGGTTGCACCTAGTCCGCGAAGCCTGCGCCTCGAACGCCAGGGTTTTGTCGGGCACGGGCTTCCGTCACCACAGGGAGGCTGGCCCCTCCGACGCTCCGTAGAGCTCGGCCAACTTCCGGAAGCGGGGTCCCCAGTCTGTGAGAAAGTCGAAGTTCTGCTCCGAGTCTGACGTGGCTGACTGCAGGGAGCTCAGCGACCCCGCCACCGAGCCGTCCCCCTCGAACATGTAGGTCTGGAGGGAGTCAAAGGGAGGGGCCCACAGGTCCATGTCGGCCTCGTAGAGCTTGGCCAGCACGTAGCTGTGGACAGTGCTGCTCACGGAGCACGTCTGAGGCACGTGGCGGGAGAGGCTCTCAATCTCGGGCAGCATGTCCTGCCGCGACTTGGGGGCGCCGCCCACCTGCGCCTCCCGCGGGTTCCACAGGGCCGCGATGTCAAACGCCTCGGTGTCCTCCTCGCCGCCGCCCTCGTCATCGTAGCGGACGATGTTCTCGTGGATGTTCTCGTCGTCGTCGATGATGTAGGGCTGTTTCCGGTGCCGCCTCATGGACAGGATCAGCAGCACCAGCACTGCCGGGGAAAGAGACAGGAAGTTAACCCGAGGTGGTGTCTGGATTCGCCGCAGGGAGGTCCAGCTTCTCAGCGGGGAGCCCGGAGACAGCATTGGTAGGTTTTAAACCACGGGGTCCACCTCGCTCTCACCCATTCTGCGTGTTGGATTGAGAGTGCAGGCAAATGAAGCCTTGTTTTCCCCAAGGGGTTCAACTAGAAGCTGCATGTAAAGCCTCTTTGCATCAGCTTGCCGCCTTGATGTTGTGTGTGGGTGCGCATCCCCAGCTATCGCGTATAAAATCCCGTCAACAAAGCACAGCACTGTGGTCTGCCGTGGAGTGTACGCTAAAGATCAGATCGTGTCTTCCACTCTGTAAGGATGGCTGTAAATTGTCTTATTTATTATGTGGAAACCTTATTATGTAAGTGGCACCCTGCTTTCTTACATTAGCAGCTCAATGGGATTCATTATGTAAATATCACATGTGAATGCATTTGCATATAGGCTTATATGCTAAGTGTCAGCCAAAACCTTCACCTTTTTATACTAACTCCAGAAAAGAGAGCACCTGACCACTGTTTTCCAATAAACTCAGTTCCTCAGAAAAGCCTTTCGCTAGTTGGAGAGTTGGTTTTGCCTTTCTGGAGCCAATGAAATTGGTGGAAGGGAGGGAATGAACATGGCATTTTATATAATTCATCGTGTTATCAAAGAAGCACCGCAGTTACATGTGTGGTTGAAGGTTTGGATAAAATTTTATCCCAACAAATATATATATTTTTCCAGGATCTGTTCACTGAGGTTTAAAGGAGAGAGAGATAATCCCATTGAACTGTTTATCTCTGAAAATGTTTTCCAGGAAGTGTGTTGTTTTAGCTGTAGAACTACTGTTGATTATTTTTCTGGTGTGTGTTGTTACAGCTAGTGAACAGGGACAGCTTGACAACACTGCAAACCCCTGTTTATCCAAGGGGGGAAAAGAAGAGTATATGCCCAGTGAGATAATGGATGGACTTAAAAAAAACTAATAATAGTGCTTTTTAAAATTTGTAGAATGTGCTTTTTATAAATTGCAATTAATGATGTTAATACTTAATGTTTTCCCAAAGAGCTTGCGTGACAAAAGTACACACAGGAAACAATTAGATACTCTTGTATATGTGCAAAAATATAGCTCATGACTATAAGTGTGGGATTTCAGAGCGATGGACTAACACAGTGGTTCTCAACCTTCTGGCCCTTTAAATACAGTTCCTCATGTTGTGACCCAACCATAAAATTATTTTCGTTGCTACTTCATAACTGTAATGTTACTACTGTTATGAGTCGTAATGTAAACATCTGATATGCAGGATGGTCTTAGGCGACCCTTGTGAAAGGGTCGCTCGACTGCCAAAGGGGTTGCGACCCACAGGTTGAGAACCGCTGGACTAACAGGACTCCAAGGAAGTGGAGGCTTGAACTGGGCATTGGAGGCTGGGGTGTGACTTGGATGGATGCAGATAGAAGAAACGGGATTCCAAGTGAACATGCTGTTTGTGGGATTCAGTAAATAGTTGCTAAACTTAAATATTTGTTAAGCACTGTGCAACGTAGAATATGATTACTGCTCTTATAAACGTGACTCTAAGGCAGGGGTGGGCAAACTTTTTGACTCGAGGGCCACAATGGGTTCTTAAACTGGACCAGAGGGCCGGAACAAAAGCATGGATGGAGTGTTTGTGTGAACTAATATAAATTCAAAGTAAACAACATTACATAAAAGGGTACGGTCTTTTTTTTTTTTAGTTTTATTCATTTCAAACGGGCCGGATCCAGCCCGCGGGCTGTAGTTTGCCCATGGCTGCTAAGGAGATATAGACACTGATGACTAAGGCAGGTCTATCATAGGGTTTTAAGTGTTGGGAAGAGAATGCAGAGGCAGGGCTAGTTAATTCTTCCTAGGGCCTCAGAAAAACCTTCACACAGGTGACACTGGGATGGTATTTTAGAAAACACAGCTCAAGTGCCCATTAGTAGATGAGTGAATAAAAAAGCTGTGGTACATTTACACCATGGAACACTATGTAACAGTAAAAAAGAAGGCTCTCTTACCCTTTGAGACAGCATGGAGGGACCTGGAGAGTAGTACACTAAGCAAAATAAGCCAGTCAAAGAAAGACAAATATCACATGATCGCACTCATATGGAATCTAATGAATAAAATCAACTGATGAACAAAATAGATCCAGAGACAGAGAAGCATGGAACAGACTGTTGAATCTCAGAGGGAAGGTAGGGGTGGATGGGTGGGTGGGAAGAGATCAACCAAAGAACTTGTATGCATATATGCATAACCCATGGTCCCAGACAAATTGTGTGCTGAAGGCTTGGGACAGGGGGCCGGGGTGGGCTAGAAGGGGTCAATGGGGGAAAAAAGGGACATTTGTAATACTTTCAACAATAAAGATTAAAAAATAATAATAAAGAAATAAATAAGAGAAAGTGATAATAATAATAAAAAAGAAATCACTAGGAAGGAAAATTAGAAAAGTCTTTGAGTATCTGCTGAAAGAATTCTGATGGTGATGAAGAATTAGGTAGTTCATGGAACTGGTTCATATCTTGAAAATTAAAGATTCCTACATACTTATTTTTTAAGTAATCTGGTTTAAACAACAAGTATTACAAAATCACATTTTGGTGAAAATGGTTCTATTTAGATGAAAGGCTTCCCTAACAGAAGATAATCAGTTCTAGGGAAGTTTATTCTTTGGGTTCTATATAGGCAAAGCACATAGGGCCTATGAGAGTTTTCTAGGAACTAGATACATACTTGAGATGTGAAATAAAAAATCTTGCAAAATTAAAATTATTTTGTTTATTTAATTGTCCACAAAATGCAGTATTTGTTTTGCCAAATCAACTGTAATTTAATCTTACTCATTTTTATGAATTAGTAGTGTCCCAGTGCACAGATTCGTGCACATTGGAAGGAAATTAATTAGAAGGAATATTTTAATATCACTATTCTCCCTTTCTCTGTAATAGAAGTGTCAACCAAATTCATAATCGACAATGACAGATAGAAACACATGTGTGTGATTGATGCCAGCGAGAGCTTTATATATATAGATAAACATGCTTAATTTCTGATTTAGCTAAACTTTTTCCAGCCCAGTGAAGCACCCCAACTTCTCTTTCAGGTAATTTTCAGCAACAAGCAGCAAATACCAACACAAAGCAGATTATTATTATAGATCATGCAGGGAGAACAAAGGGTAAAATATTTAACTGCAGCAGTGTTTGACTATATTCTGCGCAGTGAGAAAACCTGAAGTCATTTTCAAGGTCCACCATTTCTTCTTTTCAGTTGGGTCAAGTTTCTAAACTTTCTAAATCTCCATTTACCGGCTCATGAAAAGAAAATAGGCTTCTACCAAGTCTCCTATCTACCTACTCCAGGACTTCTGTGAGGATCAAATGAGGTGAGGCATGTGAAAACGCTTCACAAACATTTGGTTAAAGTGTAAAATGTTTGCACCTGGCTATAAAGCAAGTCATGTTCCTGGGCTGAAGAAACTCTAAGGAGGCTAGTTGCTGGGGAGAGGAAGCTGGGTGTTGACATCATTGCCCTGTGCCCACAGCAACCGTTTCTGGGCTGGGCTGAACTGTGGGCCACATTTTGTGCCATGGGGTTTTGGCCAGCATTGGCTGTGATTTGGTGGGGTATTGCTCCGGGGTGGTGGTGGGGCCTGTGTCCCACTTGGAGGAAGCCGAGTGTTGCTTTGTTGGCGCCAAGTCCATGGTGCTGTTTCTTTGTAAATGAAACAGTCGGACAGACACTTAGCTTTTATTTATATATATATATATATATATATATTTTTAATGTAGATATTTAATGAGAGATGTGCATTCATAGCAATAAGAGTGCCTAAAACTATGAGGATTTTATGACAGCTCTGCTCAGTTTAGCACCGGACAGTACATTTATTCTGTATAATTCAAAGACAAGACATAATGGATTTGGGAGGCACAATAAATTGTGCCTCGCACACCACTTTTAATTTGAGAGCCTCTCCACATCAGCCTCTTCAAATCAGTTTTTCTTTAATGATGGCACCTCTATCTTTGTGGGCCAGTGTGAACTTAAAATGTAGACATTTTCCAAAGATAGAACTAAGGACAGCCTGGAAATTTCTCCTGAGCCAGTTTCATGAAAGGCCTCTTGTAGGTATGTTGTTATGCACTCAAGGACTCCCAATGCCACCTTATGGACACTTGGGGAATTGAAGGAAAGCTTTATTTGTCAATACCAACAAGTACAGTTCTGAGGGCTCCAAGGACTTAAAAAGGTTACTTATTTATAGACTTCTCACTTCATGTAATACTGAACTGAAACAAAATTAAACCACATGTTGTATTTTAAAATGCTTTTTTTTTTTTTTTTGAGAAGCATATTCCACAGACCTACCTAAAATTCAATCAAAAGTGTGAATATTTTGCTGTTAGGCCCTTCTTTCTTTGGTCTGACTGAGTCTCTTGGTGTCAGGGTAAACCTGGGTTCAAGGGGGTATGTGGGTATCTGCATATCTAGTCTAATTTAAATCCCCAGGGCTTTATTGAAGTTTCTCTCACAGAATGCTAGGAATTCTTTCATAGTGGGTAATATTACTATCTAATAAGTCTGCTTTTCTTTAAGCAAAATATGTATGCTATGAACTCAATCAGAAGAGTTGGGGTATATGTGTAGATATTTTCTTGGTTTCAATAATTGGTTTGGGTGTTTCATTTCCTATGTTTGAGTGTGGAGTTAAAAAACAATTAATGAATAGCCTTATGTACAGGGGAGCTGGCTATTGCCTTGCAGTATGCCTTGAGATGAGTAAGAAAGGATCCCGTACCCCAACAGTGCTCACCCACTGGCCTGTCAACACATCTTTTTATTTCACCAGCAGTCACTGCTCCTTATTAGATGACCTCAGTGCCTAGGAAGCTTATTTTCCCAGATATCCATGTGCTTTCACTCTTATTTTTTTTCAGATCTCTGTTCAAAGGTCTCCTTAATGGTAGGCCTTCTCTCATCATCCCGTCTCCTATTCCCTCAGGATACCCTGTCCCTCTACCCTTCTCTGTAACACTTACCATCTCCAGAATCTGAGATGAACATCTAGGAGAAGATGCACAGTGTAGGTCCTGCCTGAGTTTCAATCCTGGCTCTGTGATAGTTGGCCTTGGGCCTATCACTACCAATTTATGATTTAGCTAGTACTTATACAAAATGAAAGGGTTAGAAGAGGTGATCATCATATCCTGCCCAAAATAGTCATTTTGGTTCTGTGATGTCAGAATGAACTGCTTTGTTCTGAAGTAAACTCTGTGAAGGCTGGGACATATCTGTCTTATTAATTCCAGCACTTAGAATAGTGCCCTGGCCTATAGTAGACGCTTAGTAAATAAGTCCCTGGCCCCTAGGAAAGGGCTGTCTTCAATTTCTTTACTTTTTCTCAGCCTTACTCTGCCACCTTTTCAGTAAGCATGGTCCGGAAAACCAGTTCTGAATAGCTGTGCTAGGACAATAACTGAGTGATATCTAAGTGAGCATTTGCAGGACCCACAGAATGGAAGGGAGCCACTTACTCACCTAAGAGGACAAAGATGCAGCCCAGAATGGCGATGAGGGCACCCCGGCTCAGAGTGACTGGGAGCAGGTAGGCCTCGGGGCTGCAGGACAGGACATGGCCATTGTCATCACAGCTGCACACCTGGATAGTCAGTGTGCCCGTGCTGCTGAGCATAGGCTGCCCGTTGTCCGATATCAGGATCGGCAGGTAAAAGATGCTCTGTTCCTGCTGCCGGAAGCCAGATTTCCTGGTTAGGATTCGGGCAGTGTTATCTGAGGAAGACAGGGATTCCAGGATTAGAAGAGAGGGAAATGAGGGAAGAAGAAAGGGGAAGAACCAAGAAGTGGATTAGTCTCTTGGATTGAGGAAAGTGAAGGGAAGGAACAGGTGTGGGAAGGAAAGGTTGGTCACATTCCCTGCAGGCTGTCTGCTATAGCTTTATCTGGATCAGCATTGGGATGCAGAAACCAAGATTTTTGCTTGTTTCTAGGCAAAACCCCAAGGCCTAGGAGAGAAAAAACCCTTTTTGAGATTATGTCTTACCCTTTGTGACATAAAATGCCCAGGGTGAACTGTCAGGCTTCAGATCTAACTGAAATGTCCTTGGGAAAGCTTGACAGAAATGAACAATCACTAGTGACTCCTGCTCCTCACCACCTCTCCAAGGCCTGGTGCTGCTTTGAGCCGCCAGGAAAAGAATGCTGAGGAGCCTACATGGCTGGGGGCAGATTGATTATTTTTGCTACTTTGGCTGGAATTTATGTCTTTTGCTGTTTTCTTTTATGCCTCTGAAATGCAGTCACCAACTTCTCCTGTGCTTTTTGAAGAACCTGTTCATTTAGAAAAGCTTTTTTTGAGATCCCCTAATCATATGATACACACTGTTATTTCCCCCTACTTGGTGGTCTAAGTTTAAATAGTTAATGTGATCATTCCTGATCAAGCAATACTAGGTTTTCTCCCTCCAGTTTTAAAAGGGATTAGCAGAATTACTTGTGTTTCCACAAAGCTGGTGTGTGTGTGTGTGTGTGTGTGTGTGTGTTTATTATATTTGCCTAATGTGATGTGTATTGGGTTGTGATCTTTTGTCTTTTTAAATCTGTGTTTTCAAGTTTCCCCGAGTGGGTTTGAATTGTAAATCAGATATATTTTTGCAAAGCTCAGATAATTTTCAGTAGAGGAAATGATTGAGTGATGGGTATGACATAACAAGCAATGATTCTCAAAGCTAATATCAACATGGTAGGTCCTCTAGATGTGTTTCATACTTACAGGAAAGAGTCAAGAACTTCACAAAAAATTCTGAGAGTCTACCCAAAGTAAACATTATTAATATCAATACCAATATTTTTGGTTCTTCTTCCCTTCTTGGACATAATAAAAGGTTATAGTTTTCTATCCTTTTGAATTTGAGTATATTTAGATGATGAAAAAAATGAGTAAAAAGTCATTCATGTCCCTTCCAGGCAGAAACGTGTAACAGCTGGTATGTGTTTCTCTGTGCTTTGCCTTGCTGTGGCCTTATGAAATAATGTTTGAGATGGAGATCCAGGCAGCCTGGGACACTGAGCTGCCCATGGACAGTCATTCTTGGTCATTGAGACCCTTAGTCATCTCCATGTGAGCAAGAAATTAACTCTAGTTATGTTAAGTCATAGAAATTTTGGTGTCATTTGTTCCTACAGCATAACCTAGCCTATACTGACTAATATGTTCCCTCTTGATAGACTTTTCCACTTTTTCCTCCCCTTGCTTTTTCAAGTAGCAGCTATTGTTCATGGAGTGCTTATGTGTCAGGTAGTTTGACTTTACATGAAGCATCTCATTTAATCTTCACAAGTTGGTGATAATTTCACCCTTTTACAGTGAAAGAGTTAAGGCTTAGAGATAATTTGATCAATGTCACTAACTTAGTAGCAGAGGTGAAATTTGAACTCTGTTCTCTCTTATTCCAAATTTACAACCCTTCAGTTGTGCCGTGTAAAAGCTTATTTAGTTCAGTGACATTAGCTGAAAATCCTTCAGTTAATTGAAATCTCTTCCTGTGTTGGTACAGGCCTTTCCTCTTATTTCCAGGTAAAGATAGCAACTGATTGCCAATCTGAGGATTATATTCTTATTTCCACATATCACATAACCCATCCCCTTTTCTGTTTTTCTGATTTAATTGTTAAATACTGTTAAATTGTTTCACAGCTTTAATTTTTATTTTTCAGTTTAATTGAGTCTGGGTCATAAGAAAGCCTGACCAGAGCTGAATTTTTTTAAAGTGTTATAGCATACTTACTAGACATCATGTGTTTATTGATCTCAGAATAAGTTAAGATTTAAAAAAATCAGATCATCACATTGTTGAGTCTAGTCCTGGAAGGGGTCTGGGATATAACAGCCACTTGTAGAATTTTTGTTGAATATGATAACTAGGGCTTTAGTAACCCATTTGGGAAAAGTATTTGTTTCCAAGATGACACAAATCTTTGTGTGTATGTGTGGCTAAAACAGGTCCCAGCTTTCAGTCCCAATCTTAATATTTTGGGACATTTGGTTTCTTTCCTTATATACCAAATGAGATAGTGAGAATCACGATTAGGAACTTCCTTCAAACCTTGCAGGATTATTATGAATATCAAATAAAGCAGAGTATGGGAAATGCATTTGAGATGGCAAAGTGCTATATACACACAATACTTTCCATAATGCTTTGGGAATTAAAAAAAGGAAGGCTTTATTTGAGATAGTGTTCTATCTCAAAAAAGGCATATCTTGTTTTGGGCAGGGGTGTTGGGGGCTTACCAATAGCTCTACCATGTCAGATGTTGGTCAGTTTTTTAATGAGCCTCAGTAAAGGATACTCGGGTAAATTGTCATGAGGATATTAAAAGTTTATTCTTTCTATTGAAGATGTGCTTTCACTTTGGAAAACCTTTCAAGAGATGAGTAATTTCTTTTTATAGTCATCGTGTTCTGGTGGGCTATCTTTTTAAGGTATTGGCTCCATTAATTGGTATTTAAAAAATATGCAGCATTTTGCTGCACATTGTGTCTATATTGATTCTGACAAATACCAGAGTGAAAGAACAGAGTAACACAGTGGAAAATTTGAAGAAACAGTATAATGTGTTATTCCTTCCCTAGAGTTTCCACTGTGAAACCAATCCTGAAGGAGCTGAACCACTTTCCGCAGGAAGGGTTTCCCTATAAATCACATAAATGAATAGTTCAAAATTTGACCCAGTGAAAATATCAGGATATTTAATTGTACTAGCTCTGTTGTTACAATTTATATGATCTTTCCTTGTAGAATTAGCATAGTGATTTTATGAGAACATGTAGAAGGTTAAAGGGATGACTTGGAAGGATGCTTTCCATTAGAAGAATACAGGTTTGATGTTCTCAACTTTAATAACAGAATATCACATGGGGTGGAATTAATACTTTAAGTCTCAAATAATTGATGTTTGAGAATAAGACCAGGCATGCCTAATCATTTGTTACCTTTGTTTAGATTGTTGTAAAGTGCCAATTTATATTTTAGGATTGGAATGAAAATGAGGTGACTGCAGACCTCCCTTCTCAAGGTCAGACAACTAGTTGGTAGCAGAGTTAGTAACAGAAGGGGTTCACTTGGCAGATTTAAATTATGTTTTCATTTTCTCTGCCTTTCTTTGAAAATTATCTGGCTAAAGAACAGAAGTCCCTCATTTTCTCATCTGTGCCCAGTGCAGAGTGTGCTGGGACTCTAAACCCCTTAGCTCATCTGATGCTTATTGTAGAAGAATGTCTGGAATTCTATTCCCACAAAGCTGTAGTGAGGAGTGTTTTCTGGAAAAGGGAAGCCTTGGCTGTGTCTCCCTAAAGTAATAAAGTTGTTTTAATGCCAGAACTACTCTGTGACCTCATGTTTGCCCTTTGCTATCTCTGTTACTTAGCCTTTGCCTCCCTTTTATACTGGGAGCTTTTTACTGTTTCTCCCTTTGATCCTTGCTTAGAAATGTTCCCTCAGGTTTTTCTCTTTATCTTATTCAGTTTCTATCATCTTTTTCAGATTCTCCCCATAGTCATAGGACATATAAACACAGCTGTTATATGTGGGGATGAAGGAAGGCTGTGTGTCTTGCACAGTGTCTGGGCTGAGCCAGCACTCAAGTGTTTGTAAACTGACTGAATGAAAGTTTCAGATTCTTTGTCTTTTATGTTCTGAAAACAAAACAAAAAAACCTTGAAAGACACTACACTTTAGCATTACTATCTTCCCTGATATTAAAGAGCAGGGAGATTTGACACTGTTTTTATGGTAACCCAAGTGTCCAGCCCAAGCTGTAGAAAGCATTGGTAGCCATCTATCCACCTAATTACCTTGGTTGTCCCTTACGGTGAAGTTGGGGTTGTTAGCAGCCTCAGGAGCCAAGCTGTAGTAGAAGTGCTGACCAGTGTGTGGGTCATCATGGTCCACTGCACTCACTGTCTGGATCAGCTGAGAGAGGGACATGAACTCAGGTGAGTTGGAGCCAAAGAAAAAGCTTCAGTGCCCAGTGATATCTCAAACCCTGAAATCCAACAGCAGATTATTTTACCTAATGAGAAGGATATTCTAAAACTTACCTGGAAAATCTTCAAAACTCAGGATTTATTGTTGGGCCTGAGTACATTACCATCTCAGGGTAAATGTTACCTCAGTACCTCAGCTGTTAGACATCGACATAACATATTCTCATACCAAGGCCAGCCATTTTTAGGCAGTCTAAATAGAAGATGTTGAGTAAATGAACTCTGGAATGCTACAAGGTTCTACTTGTCTCCCAGTTTTTCATCCTCTCACCCCACTGACTTAACCCCATTTTGGGGTTAATATTTCAGGGTCAAGTTATCTTTGAGAGATTCTTATTTAAAAGTGACCAATACCTAGAAGGGAAGTAAACATAAACATAAACATTGGCTATGTCAGATTAATGTGTCATAGGGCAGTCACTCTTTGGTGGTAGGAAGGGGAGCTGACAAGGTTTAGACCTCCAGTGTGGGATATATATACATAGAATAGATTAGACTCAGAAGCAAATCTTGGGGCTGAGAAGAGGAAGAGGTGGAGTGGCTTCCTTTGGAGTTCTTTGGTCAAAACTTTGTCTTTTCACAATGCTTTTCAAAGTAGTAACTTGCCTTATGAAGACCATGATGAAAAAGCTACTAAGAAAGCAGTGTGAAATGCAGTTGAACCATTGGCGGGCTGACTTGGGGGGATATAGGAAGGGTGTTGAATGGGTGGTCTCCTTCCTATGTGTTTGCTTCTCTATCAACCAATAGTAAAGACTCCTCCCACCCTACATGGGCCTGATCCTGTAGACATGATGTTCCTGCTGTTAAAAGCCAGCAGTGTTTCTGCCAGGGTAGAAACCAGAACAGCAAAGGTCAGCCAGGGCCAGGCGGGCTTGCTTAGTCTTCATTTCTTCAGCTCTAAGTTAAGGGAGCAAATGCTACCCTCATAGTAGGCTGAAGTTTAAATAACAGGGAAGCTCCAGCAAGGGGACTTTTTGTGGACAGTGTGCTGCTCAGATTTCCTTTCAGTGAAGGACTTGGTGCCCCAGCCTTCACCTGTCTGTCTCTTTGGGGACTCTCTCAGTTCCTGAGAGCCACCTATCCCTGATCACCACAATCTTCTAGGGCAGTAGTCGGCAAAACGCGGCTCGTGAGCCACATGTGGCTCTTTGGCCCCTTGAGTGTGGCTCTTCCACAAAATACCGACTTTTGCGCATGGGCCACGAAGTTTCAATCACACTGTACGTGCGCGCCCCCACGTGATATTTTGTGGAAGAGCCACACTGAAGGGGCCAAAGAGCCGCATGTAGCTCGCGAGCTGCGGTTTGCCGACCATGGTTAGGGGAATCCACATCCAGTGACTGATGCAATAGTAGAAAGGCCTGACCAACCCATCTCAACTCGGGAAAACTCTAGAGCTAAAGCAACATGACGTCATTCAAGGCTGTCAGTGGGTCTGCATTGCAACTGGACCTCTCCTTTTGCCAAGTCCTGCCAAAGACCTTCCCTTCCACAGGCTTTGGCTCAGGGGTATTCCTTAAAAGCATTTTATACTAAAACACAGTCTCAGTATATGCCTCCTGGTGAATCCAACTGGTAACTGGCCTCCGTTGAATCTAAAAATTGGGGGAATGTTGCTGCAATAAAGGAGAGGGGTCAGGAGAGTACTAAAGATAAACTTGCCCCACAGTCTAGCCTGGTATCAGTGCTGCTCACATACACAGGTCACCCTATTGCCCCATCCCTGCCCAGACAAATCCTGTACATTCCATCTTGTCTATAGTGCCAAACATATAAAGACATATAACATTTGTCGATGCATGTTATAAATAGGTGATTATGTATAACTTTGTAAATGTAGTTGGAAAGTCATTTCAGAACATCTGATCTGTGAAGTCGTGAATATATATATATTGATGAGATGGGGGCCTGAGGCATAGGACTGGTGATTACAGGGCTTTAAAGAGTAAGTGAGCAAAGACACTGCCTCACTGAGTGTGAGGAGCATCATGGCCTGCTCTCCTGCTCTCTACTCTCCATGCAGTATTCTGCTCAGCAGGTTTCATTCTGCCCTCAGCCCTCACCAAGTATGTCATCTGATTTCTTCATGGGCTTCCGTCATGGCTGCTCACTAAGAGGAAAGCACATGTCCCAACTTGGCAGATGCAGACCTGATGACAGTGTCCAAGTCTAACTCAAGGAGGCTGATTCTTTATAAACCAGACATACCTCCTGGCCTGTGTGCTTTCAAAATTCTTCAAAATATATCCCAGAGCCAAAATCAAAGGGTAGGATTTTCATTATTTTGGGCTAAAGATGACAGATACGACAGATTTGTGGCTCATCACCTGAATTTTAAGTCACAGATAAACTGTGCTTCAAAGGACTTTATAATAGACCATTAAAAGCTATGTTTAGAGTTGTAGAAAGGGATATGTGTTTGTGTGCTAAAATGAGAGAGGTGGTTAAAGTGCTATTAACCTGTCAGAATGCAACTTCTATTCTGAAGCCCTTTAGGAAAGGAATGTTTCATTTTTGGAAGGAGAGGGGTTTAATTTACTATGCTACTTATCATTGTCTTTTATTATAGGCTAGAGGCCTGGTGCACAAAAATTTGTGCACTCGGGGGCGGGGGGGGGGGGGTCTCTCAGCCCGGCCTGTGCCCTCTTGCAGTCTGGGACCTCTCAAGGGATGTCCACCTGCTGGCTTAGGCGCGCTCCCCGGGGGATCGGGCCTAAGCGGGCAGTCAGACATCCCCCTGGCAGCCCAGGAGCCCTTGGGGGATGTCCACTTGCTAGCGGGGAGCAGGCCTAAGCTGCATTCGGACATCCTTAGCGCTGCTGAGGAGGTGGGAGAGGCTCCCGCCATCACCGCTGTGCTGGCAGCCATCAGCCTGGCTTGTGGCTGAGCAGAGCTCCCCCTGTGGGAGTGCACTGATCACCAGGGGGCAGCTCCTGCATTGAGCATCTGCCCCCTGGTGGTCAGTGTGTGTCATAGTGACCAGTCATTCCCAGTAGTTCTGCTGTTAGGGTCAATTTGTATGTTACCCTATTATTATATAGGATTAAGAATTAGCCTCTTGAGCCCTAGCTGATTTGGCTCAGTGGATAGAGCATCGGCCTGTGGACTAAAAGGTCCCAGGTTCGATTCTGGCCAAGGGCACATGCCCAGGTTGCGGGCTCAATCCCCAGTAGGGGGTGTGCAGGAGGTAGCCCATCAATGATTCTCTCTCATCATTGATGTTTCTATCTGGCTCTCCCTCTCTTGTCCTCTCTGAAATCAATAAATTAAAAAAAAAAAAAGAATTAGCCTCTTGTCATATTGTAACTTAAAGTATTATACATTTGTCATATTATAGTATAATCTTACCATATAAGATTTTGTACATTATGTTTTTATAATAAATTATAAAACAAAACTTATTAACATAAAGACCCAGACCCCCTCACTCAAAACCCATCTGCACATAGTAACTATTGTTATTTTTGTATCTTTTTTTTAAAAATATATTTTATTGATTTTTTACACTAAGGAAGGGAGAGAGATAGAGAGTCAGAAACATCGATGAGAGAGAAACATCGATCAGCTGCCTCCCGCACATCTCCCACTGGGGATGTGCCCGCAACCCAGGTACATGCCCTTGACTGGAATCGAACCTGGGACCCTTCAGTCTGCAGGCCGACGCTCTATCCACTGAGCCAAACCGGTTTTGGCTATTTTTGTATCTTGTCTCTCAATCTTTATTCATAACAGACATAGTTTTACATAACTTCAAGGATGTATATGTAGTCTTTATACCTCCTTTCTTATAGTAATAATGATCATTTGTTATGCTATAAAGTCTTCATTGTAACTTTTATTAGTCCCATAATATTTCTGGTCTTTTTAGACCAGAAATTCAATAGGTGTGGAAGTAGAATTATCCTAGACTTGTTGAAAAAAATTTCAGAAGTGCTATAGACCATGGACACAGAATCAGTGGATGAAATAATTTAGATCAAATTAACTATAGGACACATTTCCCCCCCTGGGGTATGGAAATCACTTTTTGCTCTTAGTAGAATGGTAGAGATGTGAGTCAGTCTTTGGTGAAGTTAGGAAGCTAATATAAACTTGGGTTGTACAGATATAGCATCTCTCTGCCACAGGATGCTGGAGGTGATGATGCAGGAAAATGAGAGAAGTGAAAACAAAAACTGCATTATAGTTGAAAGTCCTGAATTGCCAAAGTATGAATTCATCTTATAGACGCGCATGTCACAAACTTTCATTCTGAAACTATCCTGACCCGTTTGCACCCCACCATCAGAATCCATAGGGCCACAGAATGTCCTCCACAGGGAAATAGGACTGTTAGGGAATCTGTCGGGTCATAGGTAGAGGAGGAAAGCATGTTACAAAGCAGGAGCAGAAGGGGGAGATGGCCTATGATCTGAGGTATGGAGGGATGGGTTCAGGTGGGCGACTCCCCTACACATAAATTAATACATGACCACTCTAAGCAGAGTTTCAGATGTTTCTCAGCTACACCACTTGGAGTTTGATCAACAAAATATTAATGTAGGTTTAAAAGCAGGTTTAAAAATACACAATTTTCCCCTAAAGTTATTTCAAATAAGTAGAAATTTGCCCATTCGGATTAATTTTATCTCAAAATTTACCCGACATGAACATTGCTAACAAAATGAGTGTTTTAATTGAGGGAGGAGAGGGAATAGATAATTCTAGGTCACAAAGCATTCTGAAAATCTGGCAGGCAACTCCAAAACAAAGGTACCTGTTGCTAGAAGTTAAATGGGGTGGGAGGATATAAAAAATACGATTTTCCTACTGTAAACATTTTTAGGGATTAGTGCTAACCCGTGGAAAAGAGAAGACTCTTCTTTCTTCTGATCTTCATCGTCTCTCACTTCCAGGACCCAGAGCTCATGTTATTACAGTTGGTCTATACACTTCAGTTACAGCGTGGGTAGATAGCTTAACACAGGCTAGCCCATGAATCAAACCATCATCAAAGCAGTCTTTAGATCATAAAATGTAATGGAGACTCTAAATACAGTTGTCTTAACAAATCAAGTGTTGCAGCATGATATATAGAAGTTGGGGGATCTGGAGTCTAAACTTGACGGCCGGTTTGGTTATCTGTAAGTCATTTCTACATTGGGGAGTGAACCAAGGTGCCTCACAGGCTGCCTTACCTGCCCCGATTTGGCATTCTCACAGACAAAGGCTTCGTAGAATCTGGGGAACTCTGGAGCATTGTCGTTCACATCTAAGACTTTGATTGTGACGGAAACACTTCCAACCTGGGAGGGATTGTCTAAAGAAAACACAAAGAAAACCAAAGGTAAATGTTAGTAGTGCAAGAAAGCGCTTGTTGCCAGTTAGGTATTTCCCTTCAGCCTGGTTTTTAAAGGAATGGATAAAGTACGTGGAAATGGTAGCACAAGCAGAGATTGAATGTGTTACCCAGTAAGAGTGTGGCTAGAACACAAGCATGGACAGAGAGAATGTATGTTTGAGAGAGTGTGTGGTATCAGTATGAGGGGAAGGGCCAGACTAGAGGGGAAGCAGGTACCACAAAATGAGTCTTTAAAGGGTTTTGAACCTCTTACTTGGCTCAGATATCAGGTTATGGAATTAAAGGAGGTCTGTTCTGTGTCTTGTCTTGGAAGTAGCCCATTTCTAATTGGAGGTATACTACGTGGCTTGGCTTTATTCCTGTGAAATTATCTATTTTTTGAATTATATTTCAGAAGATTTCAAGTTATTCACAGGAATACAGATAACACTACATGTTTATTTCTGCTTAGAGTCTAGGGGGATATTACAGAATCAAATACACCCCAAATCCATATCTTTGGCTGGGGCAGAAGTTACTCATTGTCATTCATGGGAAATGTCTTTTTGGTCTGTCTTTTGCTTGGCATTGCCACACAACGACAATTTCATGGCCCCAGTAGTTCCCCTCTTGTCTTTTTTTGTTTTGTTCACCACGCCAAGAAGACAAAATAGAAATTACAAGACACACAAATTATTCTTAGTAAATAACTTTATTAAATCTCAGAATGCCTTATTTTTCTGGTTCATTTTTTCTTTCTTAAAAATACTTATGCTTTACTGTGTTCCCCCCCTAAATATTTCTATTGCTTGACCAAAACTGTGGACATATTTAAAATTTTTAACTTAAACTGTACAACTTTTTTTTTATAATGAAAATTCCAGAGAAACACAAGGATAAATATGAACAACAGTCCTTATCAGACATATTCATTATTATGATACATGTAAAATTGCATATGTGTCCAAAAATGTGGACACAACACACACACATACATACAGTAGTCAAATGATATAAAAAAGTTGGGTTTAGAACTTTAGTATTTTAGGTTAAGATTATCTTGTGTCATTGAAATATGCTTTGAGCCCAGGTATTATATCTACATGATAGTTTCATTTACTTCTATTTTTCTGAGGATATGTTTTCATTGACTTTAGAGAGGAAGGGGGAAAGAGAGCGAAACAGAAAGAGAAACATTGATTGTCTCCTGTACGTGCTGTAACCAAGGATTGAACCCACAACTGAATATGTGCCCTGACCTGGGATTGAAACCGAAACCTTTGGTATACAGGACGATGCTCCAAATGACTTAGTGACTGAGCCACCTGGCCAGGGATAATTTCATTTTACTGTATGGTTGTACCATAATTTATTTAGTCAAACTATTATTAGATATTAAGATAATCCTAATTTTAAATAATAATGTAGTAGACATTTCAATGTATAAATCTTTGTCGATATATATGATTATTCTCTTAAGATAATTATTAGAAGTAGAATTCTTGAGAAAAAGAGTACCAATTGCCTACCAGCATAGCTCAGTGATTGAGCTTCGACCTATGAACCAGGAGGTCAGGGTTTGATTCCCGGTCAGGGAACATGCCCAGGTTGCAGGCTCGATCCCCAGTAAGGCGGCATGCAGGAGGCAGCCAATCAATGATTCTCTCTCATTATTGATGTCTCTACCTCGCTCTCCTTTTTCCTTCCTCTCTAAAATCAATAAAAATATACTAAAAAAAAAGTTCAAATATTTTAGAGAATCTTAATTCAAAAGATGAATTGCCAGACTTCCTTCCTGAATGGTTGTACGTGCTTCTGCCAATGCATTAGGGCAGCCATGGGCAAACTGCGGCCCGCGGGCTGGATCCGGCCCGTTTGAAATGAATAAAACTAAAAAAAAAAAGACCATACCCTTTTATGTAATGATGTTTACTTTGAATTTATATTAGTTCACACAAATACTCCATCCATGTTTTTGTTCCGGCCCTCCGGTCCAGTTTAAGAACCCATTGTGGCCCTCGAGTCAAAAAGTTTGCCCACCCCTGCATTAGGGTCTGCCATTTCCAAACCATCACTAGGTGCTATGAAAAAAAGTAAATGTAGTAGTAAATAATCTAGTTTTTGCTAAGTTTATAATAAACATGCTAATCACAATTTTGTTTCTTTTCCATTCCATTTTTAAGTTTATGTTAATAAATCTGCATTTTATTTTTAACGCTAGTGGCCCAGTGCATGAAATTCGTGCACATTAAAAGGGATTTAATTAGAGGAAATATTTTAATATTGCTATTTGCCCTTTCTCTATAATAGAAGTGTCAGAGATGAAAGAAAATTAGTAAAACGTATATGAAAATCTTCCTCCTGTCAGAGTCTGGGGTGCGCCATGGGACCCAGAGTCAAATCCCCACCCACCTGCGCGTGCCTTGAAATTGTGCGAGACCCAGACCCGGCCGGCCCCACCCTCATCAAGCCCTGCCCGGCAGGGGGTGCACCCTCAGGTCCCCCAGCCTGGCCCCGGGGTGGGAGACGTGGCTTGAGGTCTCCTGTCAAGCCCCGCCATGCCGGGGGTGGAGGGCCTGAGGTCCCCTGCCCTGGCCTGGTGCCACACAGCCTCAGGTCCCTGCTGATGGCTCGTTATGGCTCATTATGGGAACCCTGCCTCCACTGTGGGTGCAGCCATCTTGTGTTATGGCAGTGGGTCTCAACCTTGGCTGCACATTAGAATCACCTGGGAATCTTTTTAAAATCCTGATTTCTGGGCCTCATCCTCCAGAAATTCTGTTTCTTTGTTATGGGGTGGGGCCACAACATTAGTAACAGAAACAGGATTTCTGGAGGATGAGACCCAGAAATCAGGATTTTAAAAAGATTCCCAGGTGATTCTAATGTGCAGCCAAGGTTGAGAACCACTGTGTTATGGGACCCCCCACCTCCGCTGTGGGCGCAGCCATCTTGTGACAGTGTGATGGTTAATTTGCATATTATCTCTTTATTATATGGGATGTCTGAAATTCTTGTATGCATGTATGTGTATAATAAGGTTCATATGTTATAAAGGCTTCCTTTCATTCAGTAATATTTTCTATTTTTTGTGCATTACCAATCTTGTCAAAGACTGAAAGACTCTTAGATTTTTCAGGAACTGTCCCTTTTCCTCATATGAATCTTGCTTCTCGGTTTAAGGATGCTGTTTTTTTTTTTTTTACTGCTTTTACATGCTTTTTAAAAAAATGTATTTTTATTGATTTCAGAGAGGAAGGGAGAGGGAGAGAAAGAGAAAGAAATATCAGTGATGAGAGAGAATTATTGACTAGCTGACTCCTACATGCCCCCTACTGGGGATCAAGCATGCAACCCTGGCATGTGCCCTGATTGGGAATTGAACCATGACTTCCTGTCTCATAGGTCAGTGTACAACCACTGAGCAACACCAGTTGAGCTATGCCTTTAAAAAAAAAACCAAAAAAAACCCCCTCTAGCCAGGACTAGCAATACAGCAGATGCTGAATAAGTATTTGAACTAATTACATTCACTCACTTGTATGAACTATGATGATTTTTGTTTCTTCCTATAAATACTAGGTGTACTGGTTAATAATGGCAGATTTTGTAATCAAAGAAAACACGATAATTTCAAGAGAAACATCAGAATTGCTTTATTCAAAGTATTGTCCATCGCTAGCTACCTATTTTCCCCATCTTTCAGGTAATTTGTGGATACCTTCCCAATTGAACTTTTCTTGTTTTGAGACAAACCATTCAGAGACCCAATTTTCCAATTCTTTGTACGTTTTGAAGTGCTGCTCAGAAAGTGTGTGTGCCATCGATTGGAACAAGTGGTAATCTGAAGGAGCATGGTCTGGTGAATGTGGCAGGTGGGTTAATACTTCCCAGGCAAGATCTTTTAACGTGTCTTTAACTGGTTTTGGAGTGTGTGATGGTGCGTTATCATGAAGCAAAATTACTTTGTCGTGTCTTCTGGAACATTCTGGTCCTTTCACGATCAAAGCATGGTTCAAATTGATTATTTGTTGTTGGTAGTGATCAGTATTAATGGTTTTACCTGGTTTTAGAAGCTCATAATACACCACAACTTCCTGATCCCACCAAACGCAGAGCATTGTCTTCTTTCCTTGCAGTCAATGTTGATGGTTGACCTGGATCAACCATGATTTTGTGCAATTGGGATTCTCAAAATAAATCCACTTTTCATCGCCAGTCACAATTCGATGCAAAAAAGACTTTTTTTTTGTGCCGTTGAAGCAACATTTTACTGATGACTTTTTGGTTTTCCATTTGTCTTTCGTTCAGTTGATGTGGCACCTATTTTCCTTCCTTTAAAATCTTTCCCATTGCTTGTAAACGATCGGAAATTGTTTACTGAGCAATGTTTAATCTTTCTGCAAGTTGCTTTTGAGTTTGACACGCATCTTCATCCAATAATGCTTGTAATTGTTGGTTTTCAAACTTTTTTGGTTGACCTGGACATTCTTTGTCTTTCACATAGAAATCATCACTTTTAAAGCGTTTAAACCAGTGTTCACAAGTATCTTGAGATGGAGCATGTTCACCATAAGCTTCCCGAAGTATAAAATAACTTTCAGCAGTACTTTTCTTCAAAATAAAGTAATGAATTAAAACTTCCTGCAAATGCTCTTTTTTTGGCACGAAATTCGACATTTTTAAGTGTAAAAATACCTATGATGTTAACTCCTTCAGCAAATTTGACATACGAAGTTTTAAAGCTTGCTGTCAATACAACAAAATAGCTTACATATCAAATCGCATATATATCAACATATGTGTAACTCCATCTATTGAAAAAAATCCGCATTAACTGGTACAATACAGTTCTTATTCCAACAGCTCTAGAAGCTTCCACATTCTATATTACTTATATTTGTCACTATATAGAGGCCGATTTATTGTGTTACTTACTCATTTCCATAGCAAGGATAGTGATATTATGCCAAGAAAACTCTTCCCGGTCAAGGGGTCTTGCGGTCATTAGGGCACCTGTTGTAATGTCGACATAGAAGAATCTTCCAGGGTCACTGTTTCTGTCAATGGAATATCTGCAAAAAAACCCCACAGATTAAACACATCATTGCATTTGGATAGATATACTACAGCATATTACATGAGAGAACTGAGTGAGTACCATGTGAAACATGAAGCCACTAGTTCTGAAGTGGAGGACACTTGGAAGACTGAATCTACTGTTTTATTATGTACTGCCCTCCCCAACCCCTCCTCTCCCCCCCACCCCCCAGTAAAAAAACCACAACAAACTATTACTGCTTTAATTTCCTGATTCACAAAGTGAAATAGAACGGGGTGCTAAACCTTAGGGCAGCTGTAAGCTATTTAAAGATCAATTCAGCTATTTAAAGCTGAGAACTGCCCAAGGCTTTTTGGGACACTCTGAATAACAGCCCCTGTGTATATTTGTTCAAAATGAATTTTATTCAAATAAGTTCTGAAATGCTAAATTGGAGCTGGAAAACATATAGTTCAATGATTCGATTCCCTGTAATTAATATCAACTATTGAAAAGAAGAGATTTTCATCAGGTCCTTTATAAACGTGCTAATGACTGACCTGTTGGCAAACACAATAATGTATTTACTCACTGAAGAGTCTTTATCTGTGGAATGTTTTTAACAGGAAAGATCAGGTCTGTTTAGGTTGCTTATTGTAAGTAAGCCTGGAATTTATGAATTTATGGGGCACAGCTTGCTGGAAAATATCATGTGAGTTATGTAATTAATGGGATCTAAAAAACAGATGTTTCTTATCCAAGATGGCTCCTTCAGTTCAGGCAGTGCACTGAATAGCAACATCCATTGCTTATACCTTTCGTGTTCAGTGTGGACCAACATGTATCCTTACACTGGAAAAGAAGGATATTTATAGGCACTTGTGTCTGATGGTTTCAGACCTGCCCAAAGAAAGAATGCTTGGCTTGCATTTTGCTGTTGTCTGTATCCTTTGAATAATTATTTACCTTGCTACTGGGTAAGTTCTATAATTCCTGTTGAAAATGATTTGGCAGTCCAACTCCTTTTGTTATCTCACCTGCATCATCTTACTTGGTTCCCATCTTGGGAGATTCAGCAAGTGTGGAGGGAGTTTCAGGCATCTGTATGTTTAAAATCCTCATAAGAGATTGTGATATGTAGCCATGATTGAAATCCATCCTTGAGAACCTAATGTAGTCCTTGCTAATAGCTGCCATTATAATAGCTGCCATTATTGAAGACCAGGCATTTTATAGCTTCTTTTAAAATTCTTACATCTCTAGGAGGTAGGTATTATTTCACTTATTAGAGAAAACTAAGACTTTGAAAAGTTAAGTAATTTTTAGACAGTTACACAGTTGGTAATTTGTAGAAGTAAGACTTGAAAACACACACACAGACACACACACACACACACACACACACACACACACTAATGTATTGGGTTCAAAATTCTATTTAAAGTTGCCAGCAATAGGGTAACTGGGAAACTGAATTTTGATGGGAATAAGCAGTTTCTTTAGTGCATTGTTTTTCAGACTGCAGATTAGTTAAGTTAATATGGTGGATTATGACTCGTGTTGAAAGAAAATGAAATAATATGTATGCATCCCATACTCTTACATGTAGCAAGAGTAAATGTTGATGGTCAGACTTTTGTCCCAAATATATGTAAATAAGTATATGGAATATGCATGTGTATGTATGATTTGGTAAAATGTTGTGGTTCAAATATGTATTTTTTCCTGCAGGATGGCTGTTCAGAGAATTATGAATTAAAGGGAAAGGTGTACACTAAGAGCTAGAGAAGTTGGAATCATTTCAGTTATAGCTGTCCAAGAATTGGGAGATTTAAGGAAGCAAATTAACATTTTTTTCTGCTTGTGACCCTATTTAATGAATGCTATTGTAGTAAGGCATTCACTCTATACACTTTACTTATATTGACTCATTTAATCCTTACAGTAACCCTATGAGGGAGGTACTATTATCATCCCCATTTCACAGATGAGAAGACTGAGACATGGAGAGGTTAAGTCCCTTGTCCTAGGTCTCGCAGCTGGGAATCAAGAGTAGGCAGTTGAGTTTCAGGTTCCTGCTCCTAACTACCAGGTCATGCTGCCTTCCTGCACATGGAACTAATGATACTTGCCGGGAGCCGGTCCATGCTTGCTGTTTCAAGGGACCTGGCACATATGGCATACTGTTCTTAATATGTTTGCTCACCTTCTTGGCACTATGTGTTTTAACCAAGGTCTCCTCTCTGAGAAAGGTTGTTTCCCCAGGTAGGGATTTTCCCCTGAAGTTAGGGAAGGAATAAAACCTCTTAACTAAGTGCCAGGCGGGTAATTAATCACTTTAACTACGAACAATCGTGCTTAAGCTACATAATCTTTACTCCCTGGAATGAAGATAAGAAACGCCCTAACCTTTGTAATAGAGATTGATAGGATTGAATCAACTGGTATAAATACAGATGTAATAAGACAGCAAGAGACAGAACTTAGAACACAGAACTCAGAAGACAGAACGAAGAAGACAGAACCTACAGACAGAAGAACTTCGCTGGAGAGAACATGGCAAAAGATCCTGGACTGAACCTGACTACAGAAATTGGCAAGAGAACCTGACTAGAACCTGGTGACTGAACCTGGCTGGAGAACCTGGACAGAACCTGGCTGGAGAACCTGGAGAACCTAGCAAGAGAACATGGACTCAGAACTTGGCTGGAGATCCTGAACCAGAACTTCCCTGGAGATCCAGACCAGAACTTGGCTGGAGATCCTGGCTAGAGATCCTGGCTAGGCTGCTGATCAACTGAACGCTGTCTCCGTGTCATTCCTTCTTTGCCGACTCCTTCCACACCTTTGGGGACCCCTGGACCTGCTGGGGTTGGACCCCGGCAGATACTGTTTGAAGAAACAAAACCTGATCTCTTCTTGAGGATAGATTAAGCCATGACAGGAAACAGTTGACTTTTTAATAAAGAACAAACACATGCCTACAAAGTTCATTTAAAATTAACTGGAGCATTTTTTTCTAGGTATAATTAGTGATTTAGTTTTCAAGTTCACCAGTTTGCCAGGCTGGTGTTGTTCAGTGGTTGAGTGTCAACCAAGGGACCAAGAGGTCGTTGGTTCAATTCCTGGTCAGGGCACATGCCCAGGTTGCAGGCTCAATCCCCAGTGGGGGCTGTGTAAGAGGCAGCCAATTGATGACTTCCTCTCTCATTGATGTTTCTATCTCTCTATCCCTTTCCCTTCCTGTCTCTCTGAAATTCAATAAATATATATTAAAAAAAATAAGGTTTACCAGCTATTTTAAGAGTTGAATTTGTCTTATGAAAAAAATATTGGTTGGCTCATGACAGTCTTTTCTTTCACTCCCCACACGTGAGTAAAGCAGCCATTTGGCTCACAGAGCCACAACCCTGATGGCAGCTCTCCAGGCTGTAGGCATGATGCCTAGGGAGAGCAGCCTCTGATGACCAGCTTTCTGCACTCAGACTTATGAAGCCCTGGCAGATGTCACAGATGGTGTGGGAGATGGAGTGGCAGAAATAACTAACTGAAAGAGCCCATGGCAGTCCTGCTTCATGACACTCTGAGTGGAAGCTACCTCATCAAGGTAGTCCCTTCCTGACTTCCCCAACCCTGCCTGAATTGAGGCAGTGATGGCATGATGGCATCCATAACTCTGAACATAACACTGGGCTAAATTTCAGGAGACAGGAGAACAAACAAAAGGTGTAGATACAGATGGAAAATGAGGAAGTTGGGACACACTAGTGAATTATGCAGGTGGTTTTCCTTTCTCCAATCATAATATTCTCACCTATTATGGGAAGAATGAGCACCATATACATATACACAACTCTCTTGAGCAAACAATGACTGGTGTTCTTTGGGCTCCCTGTTTTCTTGCTTGGCTCAGGACATTCACTGGATTTGGAAGCAGTTTGGAGGCAGGGAATCATGGGCAGGCTCACTAATCCACACACACTCCAGGATGGCACCGGAGGGCTTGCTGTTCTCACACAGCAGAAGCCTATTTCAGTTACAAAAGGTTCAATTTCCTGCTTGCCAGAAATTCCTTGAGCAATTACTGAAATCTCAGGAAATCCAAATATTATATTTTTAATGTACATTTAACTAAATGTGGAGTCTAGTTTGGGGGTTTATTAGTAAATAATGACCAGTTTATATGCCTGAACACACCACAAGCTTCTTCAAAAGGAGATTATAAAAGCCCTAATAATCTTTTTCAGAAGTTAAATAGCTATTTGTTCATAATATTTAAACATTAGGTAATATGTTGGTTTTTGGGTAATTTAATATATATTTTCTTTTTAGGACTATAAATATAATCTATCCTATATAATAAAAGCCTAATATGCTAAGTGTCCAGTCGTCCGTTCAACCAATCAAAGCATAATATGCTAATGATATGCTAAGGCTGCTCAACTGCTCACTATGACATGCACTGACCACCAGGGGGCAGACGCTCTGACCAGTAGGTTAGCTTGCTGCTGGGGTCCGGCTGATCGGGACTGAGCGAGAAAGGCCGGACACGCCCGGAGCCCTACTGCGGTCCCTCCCCGGCAGGCCAACATCCCGCATCCCTCCCCGGCCCTGATTGTGCACCAGTGGGGTCCCTCAGCCTGGCCTGTACCCTCTAGCAATCCGGGACCCCTCAGGGGATGTCAGAGGGCTGGTTTCGGCTCAATCCTGCAAGCCAGGCCGAGGGACCCCACTGGTGCACGAATTTGTGCACCAGGCCTCTAGTTTGTAATAAAAATGCAGAAGATGAATTAGATAGCCAAGCAGCAGATAACATATGCAAGTTATTTCAAAACAAGGTAACTTTTATAAGAAAAATAAGAATAAATGAACAATTTGGGGAAAGATAACATAGGAAAGTGATTCCAAAATGGTTTAATTAAATGATAGCCAGACATTAGACTTTTAGGTGCTTTTCCCTATGAGAGTCCAGGACCCTTGATTTTCTGCTTGGATCTATGACCATTCTTTATTCCTGGGAGATAGTACAAAGAGTCAGGGACCCTCTATCTAGCAATATGAACTCTGCCCCTTCTTTGCAACTGGTTCTGATAAGTGGAATCTGCTTTGCTGCTGTGCCTGAAGCCTTGTCTATTAACCTCAAGCCTATGGCTGTTGCCTTGTTCTTGCCAGTTTCTCTCTCAAGACCTAGAGTCCCACCACAGAAGAAGCTCAGTGGACTCTGCTCTGTACTTTTAGCCTGGTGACTCTTGTATTTCTTCTGGTTGGGATCTGTTAGAATAGACAGGCATTTCATTATGGACTTCCATGATATTAACTGTGTGTGTGTCATGCTGGCCAACGGGTGGCTCTCAGTGGTCCATCATGTGAAGCAGCACTCTGTTAGCCAGATAAGATTCCTTCATTTTGTACCTCATTTGCTCCATGCCAGTTAGTGGATCTAGGCCTGCTGTTTCTCTTTCCTTCCTAGATGTCTTGAGATAGCAACTTTAGTCCTGAAAAATGCATATTCACTCCAGGATTTGTGCATGTGTGTATTTCCTGACAGCATTTAGTCTCTTGTCATTTAGGAATGTGACTCCTAACAAAACCATATTTCCAGTGCTTGCCATGTTGGAGTCCAGAGTCAATCTGGAAAGAACATGTGGAAATATCCACTGAGTAGTCTAGTTGACTCTTAGTAATGAGATCTGATTTTTTTCAAGCTTGTGTTTATTCCAGTCCCCTCCCCCAATAAAGTTTTATTCTTTAAAGTTTTCCCTATAGTATCTTCTTTGATATGAATAGATTAATTGATCAGAAGACATATATGTATGTGTATATATGTATTTGGCTTGTGAAAATATGCATTTATAATAGAATCAGTTTCATTTATATTATGATTGTTTTGGGGATGACATGGTTTCACTAACTTCTTTCCATCCTGTTGTACATTTTAAAAGCTTTAGGTAGAAATATCACTCATATGAAGTTGTTATAACTCATAAATATTAGTTTACTTCTAAAAATCAAATACCATAATTCAAAAAAATTGTTTTAGCCATTTTAATGCCTAAAAATATAAATTGTTTACTAATTGGTTAGAGGAAGCAAATTTCCCCCAGTATAGTTATTCTCAGGGGAGAAACATCTTTGTTAAGCTGCAAAAGCACATTTTCTTTTTATACAAAATAGTACCAGGTGAGGGAAGTAGCTGACAGAAAAGGCATTCAATACTTTAGGGAGTGTTTAAAATGTGTTATCTGCACTATAAAGCCTCAGATCCATTTGTGTGACTTCCAACATTTAACATGACAGGTGGCCTCAAATGGCTTTGGAATCCTGATCTTTTGTGTCACGCTTCAGAGGCTTGGCAGTTGCTCTGGAAGGTTGAGGTGTCAACCTGTCCACCAGCTGTTTGCACTTTGGCTACAGAGTTGTTGGGAAATGGCCATGACTGTAAGAGCAGCTCTCCTGTCCTGCCCCTTCTTGAGGGGGAAGCATCTTGGTTGCAATTTTTAAGTTCAAACCACATTTTGGAGAGACAGATACGTGGGCTTGCAGTAGAAAGCCCTATCTGACCAGTCTACATGGCATTGAAACCAATGACAACACTAATGGTTTCTATGTGTGTTTTTTTCTATTGTATATGGAAATATATATCGTATACGTTATTTTTTTTCTCATTTTTTAAAGTAAAAAAGTCAAAGGTTCATCAAAGTCAAAAGAATATGCAATGATTATTACCTTTATATTCACCACTAAGATTCAACAGTTTTTAATGTTTTGACACCTATGTATCTGTATGTGCTTTATCTGAATTAGTAATTCTCAACTTGGGGAAATTTTGTGCTCCACTCTCCTCAGGGACATTTGGCAATATCTGGGGACATTTTAAGTTGTTACAACTCAGGGTGCTACTGGCATTTGGTGGTGAGAGGCCAGAGATGCTGCTAAACATTGTACAATGCACAGGGCAGCCCCGTGACAAAGAATTATCCATCCCAAAATGTCAATAGGGCTAGGATTGAGAACTAAGGGGTGTGTTGCTGAACCACTTGACACTAAGTTGTAGATATGATACTTCACTTCTAAATAACATGAAAAGACTATGTTATTTAAACAGAACGAATTTAAAGAATCAGGAGTCTCCAGAGATAGAAAAAGCAAAGGGGAAAAGTGTTAGAAAATTTGATGCTGGGGAAGGGAAGAGTCCATGAAAGGTATAATCTGTGGCAAAACCTTATTGAGTTGTTGGTCACATCTGGGTCCTTGGCAGAAATGATCTGTATGGTTGTTCCAATAGTCACATCTTCAGGTACCTCCACAAAATAAAAGCCAGGTTCAAATATGGGGGGCTCATCCACATCTTCCACACTGATGTGCACTGTGGTTGTGTCCTGAAAGGGGCCCAGGTTCAGAAACCGCATCTCTAGGTGAGGATTGGCTCCCTCCACTTTTAAGGTGTAGCTTTTCTTGCTTTCAAAACTCAGGGGCTGAAAAGTAATGGCAGGAAAATTGGTTAGCCAGCAGCGTATATATCAAGATTCCAAAAGATGACTGACATTGATGGCTGGTGAGTAGATTCCTCAATTCGTAAAATGGTAGAAAAGAGTTAAGGGGAAGAATAAGGGGGATTTTTCTTTTGTTCTGTAGTTCTTGGCCTTCATGTCAGTTCTAACAACTTGGGTAAAGAAGGTAAGAAGATGCTAGGTGCTTCAGAGATAGTGAAGGAAGTCAGTGTGCTGATTAAGAAAGCCACTGTACTTTGAGCAAGGCTGACTCTAAATATGTCTACTGTTTATCAGCATGGTCCCCTTGTCTTTAGGGATGTTTGTTCATTTGAAAAGATGTCATGATAATTAAGAGAGGGTTCACGTTCTCTTTCATACTATACATACAACTGAAGTCTAAGTTTTTTGTTTTCTTCTTTAAAAAGAAAATTCCCAAGTACAAAGGCAATAGTGATTTTTCCAAGAAACTATCATAAACAACCTTCAACAAGAGTTCTCAGGGCACTGTGTCAGACCAGTATTTGTGTATTTAGTTTATATCATAGACGATCTTTTTTTTTTAATCCCCACTCGATATTTTTCCACTGATTTTTTTTTAGAAAGAATGGAAGAGAGAGGAAAAGACAGAGAGAGAAATATTGATGTGAGATATTTCTCACACTTGGTTGCCTCCTGCACACACTCTGACCAGGGCCTGCAACCCAGGTACATGCCCTTGACCGGAATTGAACTCGGGACCCTTTGGTCCGCAGGCCAATGTTCTATCCACTAAGTCAAACCGGCTAAGGCACAGATGATCTTTTAAAAAATCTCTTTTAAAAATTGAATCCAATGCCGCATTTTCCAGTTGAAGAAACAGACTAAGAGAATTCAAAGACTGAACTAAGCTAACATGGTCACATAGTGTCAGAGTAAAATGCTGCTCTAGATTTTTAAATGCCTCATCCAGGGATCACCCACAAAATAAACTCCTAATAAAATCTAATTTTTTTGGTGGTTCCTTTTTTTGATCTAGCCCTACTTACCTTCAGAATGGCAGAATGTGAACTTGAATGCTTTATCTTAAGAATAATCTTTCCTTCCTTCCTTCCTTCCTTCCTTCCTTCCTTCCTTCCTTCCTTCCTTCCTTCCTTCCTTCCTTCCTCACTGACAATATTTAAATGTTTTAAGTAACAATTACCTCAAAATATTAATAAAATATCATGGAAAGTTATTCCTATAAAATAATTACAGAGGATAGCAATGCAGTTAGTAAAGCTTAAAAGTCACATGTGCATTTGGTGATGATTTAAAATTTTGTAGCTAAATATTTATTCATGCTTTTTTTCATAGAATATTCTGAATTAAGCACATTTTTTGTTAGAAAGAGGCATGTGTTCATTTAAGCAACTGCTTTGCTTTTGAGAAATAGTAGTAGTTGCTTTAACTAAATATATTTTCAAATTCTAACAAAATGTTTTTGTTTGTTTTGCTGATGTTATTAGGTTTCTATTTATTCTGTATTTTCTTAGCACCATACATTGTATATCCATAATGAAAACCTTACCTTTTGACAAAGAACTAGGAAGGCAGGTTGTTTGGTTCAAATAGGAATGTGAAGCAAATATGTCTGTGTCTGCAAGAGTTTTTTAAAAAACCATAAGCTAATGAATAAGAAAGCATTGCATCATTTAAATTGGCAAGAGTTTTTTTAAGTGATATATAAATAATAATGGGATTTACATTTTATGGAGATTTTAGGTTTGGTGAACTATAGGAGTTTTTCTCTTTGTGGCCTGCCTAAGGATAATGGACACAAAACTATTGTTTATTGTGTGCTGGAAGATGGAAGGCATGCTGAAGATGAGAGAGTGACATAACAGTATGCTCATAGAATAAAGAACATTCTGAAAAATATATATTTCAAGTTATCTTTTAAGCTTTTAAGAGACTGAAAATCAATTGATTGACTACTTAAAAGCCAAAAGAGCCAAGATCCTGGGTAGTAATGAGAATGGTTTTATGGGATCCAATTCAATCAATTTAGCTTAATTTATCTTTTTTATAAGTATGTGCTTTTTAGATGAAAGATAGGCCTTAGGGAAATGAATCAAAAGCAGAAATTTTGTTTCCATTTTATAAGACACTAGAGGTCTGTTGCATGAAATTTCATATGCGGGTAGGGTCCCTAGGCCTGGCGATCAGGGCGAATTGGGTTCCCAGTCTCCGGGCCTCCCCTCCTCCTCCTTCCCTCGCTCCCTCAGCACCCTGCTGCTGCCCCTGGTCACCCGCCATGTTCCATGCTGCCCCCTGGTGGTCAGTGCACGTCATAGCGAGCAATCGAACTCCTGGTCTCCCTGTTGAACTCTGGAGGGGACAGTTTGCATATTAGCCTTTTATTATATAGTATTAGTAATAAACAAGTAGAAAGATGGGTGTGGATTAGGCATCTGAGTGAATTGTTCTAAACCAGGGGTCCTCAAACTTTTTAAACGGGGCCAGTTCACTGTCCCTCAGACCGTTGGAGGGCCGGACTATAGTTTAAAAAAAAACTATGAACAAATTCCTATGCACACTGCACATATCTTATTTTGAAGTAAAAAAACAAAATGGGAACAAATACAATATTTGTATTTGCATGTGGCCCGCAGGCCATAGTTTGAGGACCCCTGTTTTAAACGAATGGCTTGAGCAGTCAGTAGTCTTTAAAATATCTACACTAATAAGAGACAAAAATGCTAATTGACTGTACCTTCACTATGCCCAAGCCACGCCCACCAGCCAATCAGAGCGACTATATGCAAATTAACCCAACAAAGATGGTGGCCAGCAGCCACGGAGCTGGAGCAAGCAGGAGGCTTGGTTGCCCCGGCGGTGGAGGAAGCCAAGCTTCCCGCCTGCCCTGGCCAGCTGTGGCCTCCGCAAAAGGCAATAAAGTTTCAATTATAGAAGCTAAATAAATCCCAGATACCTGCTTCCAGCCAGCCTCCACTGGGAGCTTGGGTGGCTGGGGGCTGTGGCCAGCCTGCAAACAGCCATCAACCCCTCACCCAGGCTGGCCAGGCACCCCAGGGGGGACCCCCTGAAGGGGGTGTGGCCAGCCTGAAAACAGCCATCAGCCCCTCACCTCGGATGGCCACACCCTCATGGGGTGAGGGTCCCCACTGGGGGTCTTGGCCAGCCTGAAAACGGCCCTCTGCCCCTCACCCAGGCTGGCCAGGCACCCCAGTGGGGACCCCCACCCTTAAGGGGCTGTGGCTAACCTGCAAACAGCCATCAGCCCCTCACCTAGGATGGCCACACTCTCATGGGGTGAGGGTCCCCACTGAGGGCCTTGGCCAGCCTGCAAACAGCCATCAGCCCCTCACCCAGGCTGGCCAGGCACCCCAGCAGGACCCCCCTCCCTGAAGGGGGTGTGGCAAGCCTAACAGTGGAGTGACTGGGAATGACTGGTCACTATGACACACACTGACCACCAGGGGCAGACGCTCAATGCAGGAGCTGCCCCCTGGTGATCAGTGTGCTCCCACAGGGAGAGCTCTGCTCAGCCACAAGCCAGGCTGATGGCTACCAGTACAGCGGTGGTGGTGGGAGCCTCTCCTGCCTCCTTAGCAGTGCTAAGGATGTCCGACTGCAGCTTAGGCCTGCTCCCCACTGGCAAGTGGACATCCCCCAAGGGCTCCCGGGCTGCCAGAGGGATGTCTGACTGCCAGCTTAGGCCCAATCCCCTGGAGAGCGGGCCTAAGCCAGCAGGTGGTCATTCCCTGAGGGGTCCAAGACTGCGAGAGGGCACAGGCCAGGCTGAGGGACCCTCCCAAGTGCACACATTTTTGTGCACCGGACCTCTAGTTTATTATATTTGACTTGTCCATCTACCCAACTTATTGACCTCTTTCTTAATTTCATTTTCTGTCACCTCATAAGTTCAAAAAAGAAATATGAATGACCTTGGCAAAACTAATATCTGTTTTGATTAAACATGTTTTAGTAATGACAATGAAAGATAGTGTTTTGTCTTATGAGGTTTAATCTTTTCTCTAGGTAAGGGAGCTGGAGAAATGACATTTTGGGGTTCCTTTCACATATAAAATTGTAATAGTTAATATTTTTAAAAGAATATCTCATAATAAGATACAAGCTATCAATATATATAAAACCTTAATATGCAAATAGACCGAATGGTGGGACAACCTGTCACTATGACGTGTGCTGACCACCAGGGGGCACGTGTGGAGCATGGCGGGCATCAGCCATGGCTGGATGGTGGAGCAGGTCAGCGGGGGTGCCAGACCAAGGCGGGGTGCCGGTTGCTGTCATCGGGGCGAGCCTCTGGTGGTTACTGAAAATTCTTTGCTCCTGTGTGCCACGGTCCCACCAGGTGCTCGCACCTGCTGCTGGCACCAGCCCCGCTTACACCCACTGCTGGTGCCCGGTGCCAGCCTCAATTGCTCGGCACCATCCGTGGGTGCAAGCAGTGACTGCCAGCCCCAATCACTTCTCCACCTCTCCCTGCTCCTGAGGGGTGATTGGGGAAGCAGCTGCCACTCACACCTGCTGACAGCACTGGCCCCACTTGCACCACTGCTGGCACTCGCCCCAATTGCTTCGCGTTGTCAGTGGGTGCGAGCAGGGCTGACACTGAGAGCGCATGGGAGTGGTGGTGGCGGGAGCAGGGCTGTTGGCAGACAGGGCACCAGGGGTCATGGTGGGAGGGGCTGGGCGGGGGCACGGGGGATGGGCTGACACCCACCCCTGTGCCCACGACAGCCTTGTGACCCACAGTTCCTTTTAAGGTGCACAAATTCATGCACTGGGCCGCTAGTATTATAATAAATTGATATAAATTAATATTGTTACATTGTTATTTAGAATTATCTTTTATATTATTTAAAATATACAATTTGAAATATATTGAGAATTCCAAAAGCTCTTTTTCTGATTGCTTAGTTTTTAAAGGGAATTTTTGCATTAAAGGATCCACAGTTATTAAAAAATTTGAGCATTTATCTTGTTTACAGTTCCCAGTCATGATAAGTGATGTATTATTAACTGTTAACTGGAGCCATATCATGTATTAGGGAATGTTCTGAATCCTATGTCATGCACTAAGTTGGTATTCTAGTCATCTTTTATAATTCTAGCATACGCTATGAATTCTCAAAGAATGAGAATAAAATAAACTATAAAAATTTAAATTACATCCAGATTTATTTGATGATTCCAGATTTATTTAATCTCAGCATTTTGCACTGTTCTGAGGTCATTGTGTGCTGGTTATAAAGATTTCTGGTTAGTGGAATGCTGGATGTATTTGTTCTTTTGCTTTATTTTATTGCATCTTAAATAAAACAGGACAAACATAAACTCTTCCCTTCTAAAGCAGTATTAATTCAACTCTATGGAACAACATAGAATAAAGTTACTAAACACATTAACTTGTGCTACATTGCAAGTTATAACTTTGCTACTTTTGTCAAGGTCCTCCATGTTCCTAATGTCTGTGGTCAATTTTAGTGTTTTTATATGACCTGCAGAAGCATTTGTCACAGGTGATTATTCCCTTCCCTTGGAAACAGTTTCTTGGTGCCTTCCAGGACACCACCCTCCCTTGATTTTCATCCTTCCTCTCTGGTCTCTCCTTCTCAGTCTCCCTGTTTGTCCTTGCTCTTCTCCTTGACCTCATCATGCTGTGGTGCTGCAGGGCTTATTTCACTGTCTTCTCCATCTGTGCTCAGTCCCTTGGAATACCATCCTATATTATTTTCTTTAAAACCATCTATATGCTTATAACTTTCACATTTAATATTTCCAGCCCAAGACTATTCTCCAAAATCCAGACTCCTATAACCAACAGCTATTAGACATCTCCCCTTGGTGTCTAACAGGCATTGCAAATGTATCATGTCCAGAACTTAATCCAACATTTGCCGCCCCCCTGCCGCCTTCTCTACTTGTAGACTTCCCATCTCAGTTAATGGCAACTTTATTCTTGTTGCTCAATTGACTCTTCTCTTTCTTTCATATCCAATTTCAATCTGTTAGGAAATCCTGTTGGCTCTACCTTCAAAATATATCCAGATTCTGATTGTTTCTCAGCACCTCCATTCCTACTACCCGAGGCTAAGCCACCATCTTCTCCTATGTGTATTATTTCAGTAACCTTTCAACTGGTCTCTTTGTTCCCATCCTTGCCCCTATGTTCTTTTCTCAACAGAACCTACAGAATAATTTTTTTGTAATGGAAGTTCAATCATGTCACACATTTGTTGAAGTCCCCTAGTTGTTTCCACTTTTCTCAGAGTAAGACTCAATGTCCTTACATCGCTTATAAAGTCTTACACAATCTGGCCCTCTTGTTACTTGTCTGAATTTTTTCATTTTCCACTAGTCTTCTCCTCCACTCAGTCTTATCAAACTTCCTGTTCTTGAAATAAACCAAGCAAAATCCTGCCTCAGGGCCTTTGCATTTGTTGTCCCCTTTCCTCAATATCTTCATTCTCATTTCCTTATCTTCAGGCTGCCATGTGCAGTTCTTACCGAAAGTCATTTATAGGGCATCTCCCAGGGTTGTGTATTGTCAACCTGCCCAACTTGATGCTGTAACTCTTCCCCCATAAGTCTTTGCATAAACATCACTTCTGGGGGGGGGGGGGGGCCCAGCCCAACCACCTGATTTAAATTTAAAGTCATTTTGGCTCTTCTGATACCACTTTTGTTCTATTCTACCCCTCCCCTTGGCACTTAACACTTTCTGATATATTAATTTATTGACTGACTTGCTCTTTTGAGTATTTTCTTCCTCTTCCATGAGCGCAGAGATTTTTGGCTATTTTATTTACTCTCTACATTAAATGCCTGGCACATAGGTAGATACTCAACAAATATGTGTTGAATGGATAATTTAAGATATCTTGGGGTTTTTTTATGTGTTTAAAATAGAAGAGAAGGAAGGTTAAATCAGTGAGTTTTTGCATTAATGTATTTCCTTAGATATATATTTACTAAGATGTTAAAACTTTAATTTAAAAAAGTTTTATTTTTCATCTAAAGATATTCACTCATATGTGCTTTATACCACACACACACAAAATTGTTAGCTTATACTCAGAAAACTTGGTAACTTAACATGAAGCAAAGAAGTTTTAAGGGATAATCTCACTTAGCAGCTATGTTTGATAAAGCTTTCCCAGGTCTAATTAGTGTCTGTGGATCTTTAAATAGCAATTAAAAATCCTTCTTGATTACTTCTTGATTCATAAATGCTTTGTTGTTATTTATGGCATACTGTGGTAAAAAATAAGTTATTCAAATACAAATATTAAGTCATTAACATTATTAGGGAATTAAGCTACAACAGTTTTTTAAGTGGCTAAGTAGTGAGCTAGGAGAAATGACATATTTATAATTTATTTTGATCACGACCTTATACCCTGTCTGTAAAATGATGACACAGCTAGTGTTTACATGTAAGCAAAAGGAATAAGGGTTTTTTGTTTTTTTTTAATGGTAGAAAAGAGTGCTTATCATAGGATTTGAAGTAATACATATTAATAGTACAACGGCCCTTGCTAACACCTCATATACAGTTCAAAGACTCCATTAAAATGATTTGGATTACCTTCTTCACAGTTATGATGCCAACTTGGAAATTGGGATCTGTGTTAATGTCAAAGGCATCAGCACCATCTCCATCCACAATAGTGTACTTCATCTCTGCATTGATTCCTTCGTCCAAGTCCTTGGCAAACACTCTCCCCACAGTGGAGCTAACAGGAGCTGATTCCAATACACTCATCTGATAATGTTCTGTGAAGAAAGGTTAGAACCTGCAGTCTTGTAATCTGCCACTATAAAAAATCCCCCATCAGTATCCCATCATATAAGGCATACTGTACTAAACATATTTCTCTTGGTTCAGCAACTAAAACTTGAGTTTTACAGATGAAAACTGAGATCCAAAGAGGCTAAGCAAATGGAATTAGGTCAGACTGTACTAGACATTTGGAAAGGAGGGGCCAAAGTAGCTTGACTGTAATCCTAAGAGTAGGCTAGGACAAAATCAAAATTATTTCTTCTTTTTTTTAAAAAAAATATTTTTATTGATTTCAGAGAAGAAGGGAGAGGGAGATAGAGATAGAAATATCACTGATTAGAGAGAATCATTGATCAGCTGCCTCCTGCATACCCACACCGGGGATCGAGCCCACAACCCAGGCATGTGCCCTGACAGAGAAGCAAACCATGACCTCCTGGTTCATAAGTCGAAGCTCAACCACTGAGCCATGCTGGCCAGGCCCAAAATTATTTCTTATCTCAGTGAATCTTCCTTTCAGAGTGGTAAGAAGTATCTTGCTTTTCAGTCTTTCAGTTCTTCCTAATGAACTATTTCCCCAAATGCTAATTCCTTCTGAGAAAGATAGAAAAAACATTGGTGGTGGCCCACTTGGCTAGCCAAGAAATCAAGAAGCAGAAATCCATGTTTTCTTACTTGTCTCAGTTCTCTCCTTCTGCCTTTTCGTTAAGTCCTTACTGCTTCACATCTGGATCGCTCTCAAAGCCTTCTAACGGACTCTCCTTCTAGTTTCCAGCCCTGCCAACCTATGCATGGCTCTGTAACTAGGCTTTCTTTTGTGTCTATCCTTGCTCAAAAACTTGTCAGTGACTTCCATTGGACATAGAACACATTTGAAACACAAAAGACAGGTCTTCATTTCATTAAACAAAAATTATACTTGCAACTTTATTTCCAAGTCTTTATATACATTTCTATCCTTATAATCAGATTTCTATTTGAATGAGCTCTAGGAGAGCAGAGATTTCATTTCTTTTATGTATTGTTCAATATCCCATACGAAGAAGAGTGCCTAAACCAAATAATTTTTGAATGAATGGCTTCTTCCTTTTGGAATGTTCTCCTTTCTGCCTGTTTACATGCTTGATATTCTTCAGCCCCCTGTTGAGGTCTCATCCTTTTATGAAGTCTTTATTCATCTTAGTTAATTGTGAAGGCTTCATTCTGCCCTAACCAAGTGGTACAGCACATGCTGCTTCTTGGTTAACTTTTGATGAGTGTAGAAACCCAGGCCTGGGTTTCAAGTATCTTGTGCCCCTCATGCCCAATGCTCTTACAGAGCAGGTACTGCATACCTGCTTGTGAATTGATTGGTTAGGTGGTGAGGTGGGTCACTACTTTGGTTTAGTTTCCTGTGTGCATTCTAAGCCGGGAGTATCACCCCCTAGAGGACAGAAATTGGTTCTTGTTGAGGGAGAGTTGAAAAAACCTTAGATAATACAATGGCTCACAATTACCCAATAAAACTTAATTCCTTCATATTTAATTTTATGAAGGGGCAGGGCATGACAATTAGGAAAAAAAAGTATAAAAGAGCTCCTAGGGAGGTGATAGTGAAAAAAGTAAGAAACACTGGTTTAGTGCTATGGGACAGAGAAGGGAAATGGTTATGTGAGAATTGCATGATAAGTGTAGGGCAGGAACCATGAATACTTAAACTTAAAGAGGAACCCAGGTCTTTCTCTTTCATCTCTGTAACAAGTGACTCCTCTAGCCTGAGAACCTGTACTCTCATTGGTTAGATACTCACTCTGGGGAAAGCGGGGTGGGTTGTCATTGACATCTGAGAGGGTGATGTTGACCGTTGTGGTCCCAGATAATCCTCCAAGCTGCCCTCCCATGTCCTTAGCTTGAATAATCACTTCATAGTACTCTTTGGCTTCTCGGTCCATGTTCGTGAGTGCCGTCCTAATTACACCTGTAGGATAGAAATTTTCTGATTTTGTTTGGTTTTTAATTTTTTTTTTTGTTAATCCTCACCTGAGGATATTTTTTTGCTTTTCAGAGAGAATGGAAAGGAGGGAAGAAGGGAGGAAGGGAGGGAGGGAGAGAGAGAGACAGATATCGATGTGAGAGACACGTCGACTGGTTGCTTCCCACACGTGCCTGGACTAGGGATGGTGAGGGAATCCACAACCATCTATGGGCCTTTGACTGGGAATCAAACCTGGGACCCTTTCGGGGGTGCAGGCTGATGCTGTAACCACTGAGAAACACCAGCTAGGGCGAAATGACTTTGTTTTTAAAAACAAAACCTCAAGTCCAGTTCTTAAGATTGGGTTCTAGGTTTCTCCCTTGTGCATTGTTAATATCTAGAGTCGAGATGCAAGTCACCTGTATTTTATTGAACTTGATGTCAAAATCCCAGCTTCAAGAAAGTGCTCTTCTTACACAAATGATGAATAAATGCAGTTCCAGTGGGAAGAGCAGAGGGCTGATTTCCTCTGTCTGCATTACTGAGATATAACAGGAGGTGGCAGCAACGGTTCTCTGACAGATTTGAGCTAGCAGTCATGGCACTGTCAGGAAGCTCCATCTCCCTAAAGCAGCGGTTCTCAACTTGTGGGTAGCGACCCTTTTGGCAGTTGAACGACCCTTTCACAGGGGTCACCTAAGACCATCCTGCATATCAGATATTTACATTACGATTCATAACAGTAGCAACATTACAATTATGAAGTAGCAACGAAAATAATTTTATGGTTCGGTCACAACATGAGGAACTGTATTTAAAGGGCCAGAAGGTTGAGAATTACTGCCCTAAAGGAAACGGGGCTTACGGCCCAGAAAACAGAGCTATATGTGTCTGCAAATCTATGATTTTATTTAATTTATTTTAAAAAAATCTTTATTGTTGCAAGTATTACATAGGTCCTCCTTTTCCCCCTGTTAACCTCTCATTAACCTCTTCCAGCCCTCTCCCAACCACCCCTTCAAACCCCCCCCTCCCATCCTCATCACCCCATTGTCTGTGTCCAGGGGTTATGCATATATGCATACAAGTTCATTGGTTGATCTCTTCCACAAATCTGTGATTTTAGATCAATTCTCCTTCAGCCCTGAGAGCCCTTGTAGAATGAAGGACTATTCTTTAGGGAACTCACTCCTAGTCTGCTTTTTCCTGCCTCCCCAATACCTGTAAGCAGGGTTGGAATTCTAATTTGATTTTCCTTTTGTTGTATATTCATTCTGTTTTGTTATATACTGCTAGCATCTGTGCTTCATTGAATTCCAGCTAGGACATGAAAGTTGCTCTATGAGTTGTTTATATTGAACACGCATAAGAAATGCACTTCCCCAGACAGTAAGAAGCAGCATTGCACAGTGCTAATACTTTCATTAAGGGGGTCTAAATCAAACTCCAGTGAAATGTGTTTTGATCCTGCCAAGGATGTGTGGTCATGTTTTATCTACCTTTTTTTAAGCCCTAGGCAAAGATCCAGGAATTGTTTATTGCAAGTTTACAACATGACCCTTGGCTAAATAGACCTTTACATGCTAAGGGAAGGGATTGGGACCATAAACCAGTCCGAAGTTTAACTCTTATAATGTATATATTGCATTTTAGTAACAACATTCTAAAGTTAAATATGCAGCTTTTTCTTTTTTTAAAATGCCCTATGGGCACAGCAGTAACTATCCTTTCATGTATTTTTGACCTTAACACTAAAAATTCCCCCTGGGAGCTGTCAAAATAATGTAAGGCTCCTCTTAAGATACAAAGGACACATTACCCTCTTCCTGTCTATACTTTCCCTCCCTATGGCACCCTTATACTCTTCCCCATGTTTAGAATCGTTAAAGTTACTGCTTTATAGAAGTCCTTAACTACAATCTTTTTTTCTTTCCTCCTACTAATTTACAGTCTTTCACTTTTTACTTTTATGATATGATTTTCTGAATGCCTGGTTCCCCTTAGGACTTCTGGGGAGAAAAAAAAAGTATCAGGTTGCTAGTAGAAATGCATTTTTTCTCTTTCTAATAAAGAGATGACTTTGAGGATGCACCATTGACTTTACCTCTGCAACTATAAGTTTCTTTACTCAAGTTCCTTGTTATTTAGGGCCTCAATTTTCTCGTATGTAAAATGGGAATAACAATACTTCCATATGTTTCACAAGTTCACAGGAATATCTAGAGACTCAGATATGGAAGTATTTTAAAAGGGAGAAAGTCTGGCACAAGTTCAAGATAATAAGGATATACTCATTATTCTGCCCAATTCAGAAGTATTAAAGGGGCTTCTTCACAGATGAAACAAATTCTGCATTGAAAACTCTCAGTTAAGCTGAAAACAAAACAAAATGAAACCAAGCTTCCATTGATTTGTCCTTTTTTGCCACATTGCTCCTTGCCCACCCAGTTCTCTGTGCTGTTCTTCCTATTAGAGCAGCGGTTCTCAACCTATGGGTCGCGACCCCTTTGGGGGTCGAACGACCCTTTCACAGGGGTCGCCTAAGACCATTGGAAAACACATATATACTTACATATTGTTTTTGTGATTAATCACTATGCTTTGATTATGTTCAATTTGTAACAATGAAATTGGGGGTCACCACACATGAGGAGCTGTATTAAAGGGTCGTGGCATTAGGAAGGTTGAGAACCACTGTATTAGAGCTTCCTCTCAGCACATGGCTTTTTTTGGAGGGGAGGGGGAAGAAGGGGGTAACATCCTATGCTCTGCACCCTTTTCCCTTATTAAACCAGTATCCATTCATTCTGGCCTTTTTCTCTGCTTAGTACAGGGTGGTTCAGTCGAAAGAAATCAGACTACATGTCAGGGGACATGCCTACAACTAGAAGCACATTTTTAGGTCTTATTTTCCAATTTTCTTATCTAGTAAGTGAATGGTGATAGATTGGATGAATTCTCTATGGGTTCTTTCTAGTTTCAAAATCAATGATTCTGGTTCTATATTGAGCCAGGTTAATGTGTCAATCCTCTCAGTTCTTAGCGTTATAAAAGACCTTAATCCCTGGGAATAAATACAACCATAGGCTTTTTTGAAGGCTAATGAGAAGGCAATTATGTGTAGGCAGGCCTTTTGGTCTCTCCAGTCATGCTCTGTACACTGTCTATACATAGCACCGCACTGCTCTTACCCTCTTTTTTTTTTTTTTGCTGTCTTAATCCCAAATTTTATAACAATCTTCTCTGGTTATTACACTCACTGGAGAGTCCTTGATAGGAGAGTTGGGTCTGTCATAGTAGCAGTTATAAATTATTAGGGAATAAAACAAACACCCCTGCCCTAACCGGTTTGGCTCGGTGGATAGAGCATCGGCCTGCAGACTGAAGGGTCCCGGGTTCGATTCTGGTCAAGGGCATATACCTGGGTTGCGGGCTCATCCCTAGTAGGGGGTGTGCAGGAGGCAGCTGATCGATGTTTCTCTCTCATCGATGTTTTTAACTCTCTATCCCTCTCCCTTCCTCTCTGTAAAAAATCAATAAAATATATTTAAAAACAAACAAACAAACAAACAAAAAAAACACCCCTGACTTGACTGTTGCATCAAATACCTGTTTTGGAGTCCACAGAAAAGTATGGTTGGCCCTGGAGAATGCTGTACACTACCCGGGCACTGTTGCCGTAGGTTGGGTCATCAGCATCGGTGGCTGTCACTTGGATAACAGAGGTCCCTGAGGAAGAGAGAGAGTGGAAACCTGTTCAAATTGAATTGCTAAAGGCTGGACACATTCCCGAATGGGCAATCTTAAAGCATTTGCTAATGTTATGTTTGCTTCCTTGGATGGGTCCTTATCTAGGTAAAGCTTCCGTAACTCCTATCTTGTACCTCTTTGGAAATTAGGGATGGCAATTATGTTTTAAATTCTTAATAACCAGTAAGGACAACACAGGTTTTTGGTTCTTCATTACTCTTTTAATTATACCAAAATGCTTCGCTTTTATGAACCAAACATTATCTATCCATCCATCCACTCATCCATCCATCCATCTTTGATTTTGAAGAACTAGAACTGGATAACAACACTAGCCTTGTTATTTTATATTTTACTATGACTGTTTTCAGTGTTTAGGTAGTGTCCTGCCTAAGGACTTGATTGTCACTTTTGGTTCAGTTTCATAGTTTGTGGGCTATTCTGCACAATCTTCTTTTCTGTATTTAGATAGAAGGACCTTCTATAGAGGAATCACTCTATGAGAATCAGTGAATTGCATCTTACCCACTGGTGACATTTCTGGTACATTGGCAATATAAGGTCCATCCAGAAACTTGGGCTCATTGTCATTGATGTCTTGGATTTTGATGATGAACTCTGACTCCGGCTCCATTGGCCTGCCTGTCCGCCTGTCTAGGGCTTGAGCCCTTAAAGTATACTGAGCCCTTTCCTCTCGGTCAAGCCTCTGAATGGCATGAATGTCCCCAGTGGTGTCGTCGATGGTAAACACGATGCCTGCACCTTCTCCGGAGAGTATGTATTTGATGGATCCATCGCCCCTGTCCATGTCTGAATGAAGCTGGGAGGGAAAAGCACCCAAATCTCATTATGGATAATGAACAGGTGTCAGAAATAAATTTTCAATTTAGTCCTAACATATGATCTCAAATAGAAAGAATTTTCAAATAGAATTTTTTTCATTCAAATGTTTACAGTGTCTGCCTACAAAGAACTAATATTCACTGAACATGATTGTATCAAAGAGCAAATATAGGTTGATGAATAAGTAACGTTTTTCTACTTCGCATTTAGTATCCTAAACTTACTGCTGTTTTTTAAAGTTCCTTGCCCTGAGAAATATAGAAAATAGGAATGAACTCTGTAAAGTGTAGGTCCCCAACATGAGAATAGGAACAAGTTGAGTAAAGAGGAACCCAGACTTTCCACTAAAATTTTTTAAAGCCCAGCTGGTGTTGCTCAGTTGTTGAGCATCAACCCATGAACCAAGAGGTTACCAGTTCAGTTCCCAGTCAGGGCACATCTCCGGGTTTTGTGCTTGCTTTTGCTGCCTGGAGGAATTCAGCTGTGTCTTATCTAGGGAAGGGAAATAAGAGAACAAAATTGACTGGAAAAAATAGCTGGGGAGTGCAGGAAGAAGCCAATTGATGTTTCTCTTTCATCGATGTTTCTCTCTATCTCTCTCCCTTCCTCTTTCAAATCCATGAAAACATATTTTAAAAAAATGGAGATGCCTAAGCATTTTAAAATAAGAAAGTGTTGATATAAATTAAGTTTTGGAGTTTCAGCAACTTTATGACAATTTTAAGTTTGCTGAAAAGTTGATGTAATGATTGATAAGTTGGCCATGCATGGTTACTGCACTGGAAATGCTATTGGACTTTGGGGGCTCTTGTAACACTTTGATTGTGGTCCCCGTTGTGTAGTTTCACTCATGGGACTGTGCTCACTTACATTTCAGGTGTTAGAATGGACTGTAACTGTTGGTTATTTTTCTTGCATCAGTGCACCTCTCTTTTCGGGGGGATTAGTTCCTAGCTTCATAACTGGATCACTCAAATCTGTAAGTAGATGGTTGCATTTGGGACATGCTTTTATCTGCTCATCCAACTGTATTTCCTCCCAAATTACTTTGTGAATACTCTTGAAAGGAGTGCAGGGACACTATTTTCATATTAAGCCTAGAAATAAATTTCTGCATCTCTAATTTTAGACATTGTATACAGGTGGCAAGAACCCTGGAATTTTGTGCTATGTATAATTAACAGTCTCTCTCTGAGGGAGAGAGGGCAACAAAAATGAGTTACATTTAGTCAGCCACCACTCATTCTGTTGTTGTTGGGATCATTAGCACTTTGAATAGTTCAGTGATGAAGTTCATGAGATTTAGTTTATCAGACAACCAGTGTTAGGCTTAGGCCAGAGAGGCAGACATATCTGGCCTGAACCCAATGTCAGTTATAACTGAGTACCCTTGACAAATTATTGTTTATAACTCAAATTTCTTGTATAAATGTAGAGAACAATATGAATATATACTTGAAAAGGTTGTTAGGGCTCATTAGAAATTAATGTATGTAAAGCACCTAGCATAGCGTTTCCTGTAATAATGCTATAAATGGCGCTGATTAGGATGATATACACACATAAAGAAAAGGGTGTTAGTATGTCCAGCTCTTCTCTGCTCCCTTCAAACCTTCAGGCATGTAGCAGAGATGGCAGAAACCTGTTGGCTTTTTAAAATGCGTAGTCCAGTGGTAAAGCTGCAGAAGGCTGCCTGAAGCACAGCTGGGACAGTGTTACGCTGAGGATTAAATGGCATAGACGCCAAGAAGACACCTGAAAATGTATGCACAACATCCTCAGACAAGGATGAATCTGGAGGTTGTGGCTGGTTTTGAGCTGATCTCAGGTTGACTCACGGCCAAACCAGGCAGGCAGTGATTTTGCTGCCTAGAGGAATTCAGCTGTGTCTTATCTAGGGGAGGGAAATAAGAGAACAAAATTGACTGAAAAAATAGCTGGGGATTTTTTCAACTGAAAGAATTCTATTTAGAATATGAAGTGCTCACATTCCCTCATTCCATATACAGTATTATTATTTTTCGCAATCCAAATCTTCTATTCATTCAGTTTAAAAAGCAGAGGTGCCCAGTTCTTATTGTATAGAATGGAAAGCCATTTATTCAAACCTGGCCACAAAGAAATGAAAATCCATTCCATGTGGAACTCTGTTCTTAGGCAGCGGAATGGAATTGGGAGGAGGGCAAGGATCTCAGGATTTTTTTAAAATTAAAAAATATATATGTATGCATGTATTACATATGTATGTAAATATACATATAAATATACATGTAGATATATATATCATTTCAAGGTATGTGGCATAGGACTTTCACTTAGAATGAAGCAGGTTAATTCAAGGTTTGGCAGATTATTTAGGGGAAAAGAAAGAATAGAAGCTGATTGTTTTGAGATGTTGTATTTGTCATCTAAATGGTTGTGTTCAATAACCGTAACAAAGCTAAGCAAAGTTGTGATCACCATTGGCCAAGCTTAAGTTCTCTGCCCATGGAGAGAGCTTAATAAGTAACTGAAGGCTAAACATCGTTGCTGCTGTGGAGGATATTCTGGCTCCTCAGAGCCATCTGGCTGGCTGATGCCAGTAGTCTGGGCTGAATCTCAGATCTGTTATCTTTGTTTTAATCTAATATGGATGAGCTGGAAGAATTTAAAGAACTCTCTAGACTCTGAGGTCCTTGAAGTCAGGATCCATGTGGCTTTCATCTTAGCGTGGGTTCTCACATGTAGTAAATGCTCAGTAAAATTTTGTTGAAAAAATGGTGTGAGATGTACAATTACAGTTAAAGCTATTTGTGAAACCACTTCACCTGTGTTTGAAAGAGCTATCAAGCATCTTTCAAGTAGTTTCTGAGTGTTTGTTTGCTGTTGCATCTGTAAGAGCAAGGGAAGGAAGAGTGGAGGGAGGGATTGGAGCAAATCAGGGGGTAGCTCTTATGAATAGGAAGAGTACCAGCTATGAAAGGGGCCAGGATCTGCTTACAGAGAATTGGTTTCTGGGGAATATAATTGTTTCAGTTCAGGATCCAATCTGGAAACAAACATACACTAGTTATTTTAGCAAAGAATTTAACATGAAAGGCAAAAAGGGAACCCTGAGGTTTGGGAGGGATAGTAACACCAGGACACAGCTGGGGGAGCATAGGGCAGAGGTTGGGTCTCCTAGAATCTTGATGTTGGGAGGAGGCTGGGCCTCAGACCTCTGAGATGTAGTGCTGTCCACTGGGGCTGAGGATTCTGGAGCTTAGAGGGGGTGTGCCCAGCAGCCACCTTCTGCAGAACTGAGCTTTCTGAGAAGCGGATGTCGCCCACTGGTGCTGATATTTGTGAGGGGTAGTGATGAGGCTGGTGCTGTGAGTGTGGAAAGAACTCAGAAACTGGAATCAGTTGCTGGCTGGGTAAAAGTACAAAGTCCCTTCTCCCTGCTCCTGCCTCGGTGATTCTCCATTCAGAGCATTCTACTCTCAGAACCCACCAGGGAACTGGTTGGAAAAGGAGAAATGGTGGCTTGCAGAGTTCCAGCACCAGTGTCACAAAGTGGAGTATGGAAAGGTGCATATAGAGCAGAGAGACACTAGCCTAATGACCAGCATAGTAATGTGCATTCAGCATTAGGGTTTGCCAGCCATGGATACATATTTGGTTGGGAAAATTGCAAAGAGGCATTTACAGCTTTTCTAAGTCACTCAGCGAATTGGCACGTTAACAAAATGTTTTATATACATATACATATTAAATTCAGCCAACACCGACTGAGCACCACCTCTTTAGAGGAAGGTAGGAACTTCTAGAGTGGAGTTGGCAGCACACAGTTATGTATATCTTGGGAAAACATTTTTCTTCCCCAAATCTCCTAGCCCGTGGTCGGCAAACCGCGGCTCGCGAGCCACATGCAGCTCTTTGGCCCCTTGAGTGTGGCTCTTCCACAAAATACCACGTGGGGGCGCGCACGTACAGTGCGATTGAAATTTCGCGGCCCATGTGCAGAAGTCGGTATTTTGTGGAAGAGCAGGTATTTTGTGGAAGAGCCACACTCAAGGGGCCAAAGAGCCGCATGTGGCTCGCGAGCTACGGTTTGCCGAGCCGCAGTTTGCTGACCACTGTCCTAGACAGAACGAGATGGGTAGATAGTCTACTTAACCTAATAATTCTTTAGTCTGTAAGATCTTCAGCCAAAGGAGTAGTGAATGATGGGAACACACTGATTATGAACAATCTTACTTGATTTAGGATCTTAAAAAACAAGGGTGAGTTTCAGTCCTTTTGCCATCTTTCGTAGTGCCTCACATAGTCCAGGAGTGCAGTAAGTGCTTTCAATTTGTGGTTAGACAGCTTCCGTGTAGTTGTTAACCTCAGTACGATTTGGAACCATAGATTTTTGCACAAACACGAGCTCTCTGCATCTCTCTCTTTGCATATGCCAGTATAACTTAGCTTTTCCACGACACTGCCTGTCCCTGGAAAGCCCAGTGTGGATTTTGCGAGGCCACACCAATTACAGCTGATAAGTGTTGCAGTACTCCTTTCTGAAATAAGCAAATACTCAGGCAGCCTCTCTAAATAGACATCTTCCAGAGCACAAAGTGACAAGCTCATGCCCCTGGAGTGTAAAGGGATGAGAGGTAGATACATTCTCTTTGAAAAGAAAGTAAGGGGGTAAAGTGCCTGGGTAAGTGAATAGATAATTGTCTTCTTCATGTGGGGGTAGTACACACAGAACAGCATGAAAACACTACCACTGGTTGCTGATGTGTTGGCTGGCCAATGACTTTAGGGTTTCATGGGGTGTCCTGTGTCCTGGGTTGGGGTAATTAGAAAAGGGTAAGCACTAATCATGAGTACTAGACAGTGCTACACAGCCAAGTATTTCCAGCATCAGGAGACAGTCAGGCTTGGTTGGATTTCTGGCTCTACCCTAATATCATTGACTCTTCAGTGTATCTTTCAGGTCTGAGTCTAAAGTCAGAGCCATATGTATGC